ATACGCAGTGTGTGCAAGCCAGAGGGAGCAGTTGTTAATCACTAGTTAAGTGTCTTGTGATATGCAACCTGCCATTAATCCCGAAAAAACAGTACTTAGATGTTAACAAATATGTTTTGACTTCAATTTGTAAACATAAAAGTACCAAATTCAAATGAACCCATGAATTTCCGAAATATAGCAGTTTTGAGCACTTACAGAAGTTGACGTCTTCAACAGTTCTCTGATTGCCATTGTGGCATAACAAGAGGATGGAAGAGTGAGTGCCATTTTAAGCGCCATCTGTGTCTGCTCAGAATTTGGATTTCCAGTGTCTTTTTCATCATCTTTTCTCTCCGTCTGGTCATTCAAATCGGTTTCAGGAGGGTTAGAAATGGGATTCATTGATTCATCTTCAACTTCTTCAGCAGATCCAACTTTATCAACTGTCATGGTTATCCTGTCCAAATCTGTTTCTGCCAATGGTTTATTGCTGTCAGTGTAAGTGAGTAACTCCCTGCAGCAATTACCCGCAAAATTAGTCTCGGTTCATAGAGTCTCTGATTTCAAAACTGGTGAAGTTCTATCTATGCACTGCGTACCATTCAAAGTCTATTGGTTTCTGGAATACACGTCTATAACCACCAGTCATGCTAGTTATCGAGAATTCCCTGAAACAATACTTTTATTAGTAGAATGTGGTAGATGCTTGTGCTGATGCAAAGTTACAAGCAGAAGGATCTACAAGAAAAAGTGCATAAGGGAATTTACTTTACACCGTGAATGCTGTCAGTTAGGCTGATACCGTCCTGAACAATGTAAGCAAAAATTTATAGATTCATCAGCAGAGATGTAAATTTTAGAAAGAACAAACTGTCAAGAAGTGCGTTCAATATTTCTACAACAAACAGGGAATGCTTGAATATGGCTTTAACAAACCTTCTTTGCCAAATCATGATAAATTTCCGCAATGTCATTGGACGGGTAAATGACTCTTGAACTGTTGAAGCAAAGAGAAAGTTAAATTTCAATGTTACAATGTATAAAGTTAAAACTACTTGTATTGGAAAATTTTGCCAGCAACTTACCCAGGAAGAGGGAGGACGATGTCACTGGTTGAGTAAGTTCCAGCTTCCAAATCCTCTACACTTACAACCTGAAGAACACAAAAAAAGCATTTCACATGAATAATGCTAGCATTAGCAAAATACCAATGAGAATGTGCAGGCATCAAAGCATCTATGTATACAGAAAAAGATAATGCAGAAATCTGATTAATCAAATTTGAATCCCGAAGTTCCATTAGCTCATAATCTGAAGAGAAAAATTTATCAATTATGGACGGTCTAATAAGGGCTGTTCGAAATAGAAACTAACCTTAACAAGGTCACTCCTCTCAGCTGGAAGATCTACAATAGCAGTATCATCTACCTGGTCACAATCCAATGCGTCTTCGTTGTTTTCCTTGTGCTCAGATGTATCAGCCATCTTTTTTGTAGCATCTATCTTTGTACTTACCAAGTCCCCCAACACAACTTGGCTGGTCCCTGTAAACCACAAAAAACCAATGGGTGACCGCTACAGAACGACCCAAGATTTATAAAGAAAAAAAATTGATGTACCATATTTTTTGACGCGCAGACTTGCTGCATTGTTCCATAAGTAGCTTTGGTAACTATGTACATACCTGCACAATAAGAATCACATATACAGTAAGATAAAAAAGTGCTCGGCATATGTCATATCTAAGTCGCAAGAGGCAAATGTTCTGGAAGAACTTAAGCTATATAAAGAACCAAGCGCTTACATCATTCTCAAAGTTCTGGGAATGCCTTTCAGAGCCTGCAAGTAGTTACCAGGACATTTCTTCAGACACTGCAGCTGTTTCAATACACCCAAGATTAAAACTGATTATCATGGAAACCTATAACAAAAAAAAGCCCAACACAGGAGTAGCTGCATACTTACTATGGCTCTTTCAGCAACGAGGTATCGCGGTAATTGCCTTAAAGTCCCATCAATGTCGCCAGTTTCTTTGTAATATTCCCGGGCATCATTTACTACATGCCTTTGTAGAAAAAAACTTTAAAGTCAAGAAAACCATGCATTGATGCGTTCCTAATTTCGTAGAGCCACAATATGATTATGAGAAGGATAAGCAATTGTAGCTGAGACTAGGTCATGTAAAGGATATCAGTTTCTCTTGGATCAAGAATCATGTCTACGGCATCTTTCCACTCTCCTTTCAATAGTGCAGCTCCAACATGGTGCGTTGGTACTGAACCACTTCCAAAACGCTGCACATGAATACAAAATTCACAAGATATCAATTTTTCATAAGATTCAAGTGAATTTGCTCGAGAAGCAGAACTCGATACCACAATGCAAAAGTGCAAGTTGAAGTAGCTACTAAATAGAGAAAATAACATATATATAATTACAACTCGACAAGAGAATAGTACCTGCAGGCCAAAATAGTTGATAAATCCATCTTTCCCCAAGGACTCTGCAGATTTTTTTATAGTTTCTTCAGAATCAGCAACCACTCCTCTGAAAAAAAATGAAAATTTGTAGTATAAAGATATTCCATGCACAAGATCTTTTCATCACTTCTCACCGAAATAAAATAAAATGTTCTTGAATAAGAAGATATGGGAATTAATAGACGATCATAGAATTTCTTTTTACAATGTCCAGTTACATTCTCACCTTAACGTGATGGTAAATCTGTTTCCCATGAGCTGTCCAAGGAGAAGGCCCTCTTTGACATGGCTGAAAAGTAATCATTAACATTATGAGCACAAAATATAAGGTCAAAATGACAACATTTAAGAAATTGTTGGCTAACCAGAAGTCGCCAACTTTGATCCCAAACAATCTCTTGTTCAGCGCAGCCAATTTACTAGCTTGTTGTTTGAACACAGTTACCTAAATGGCCAAGCATTCTCTTATTAAGCATTGTAAATATTAAACTCATCTTACCAAGAAAACAGATAGAGATAACTTACACACTGAGTTGAAACAGAGCGCTTATCTTTTGTTCCAGAGAATCCAAAGGATTTTGGCTGTAAAATTCAAAACCAATCCAAAACACAGCTTATCAAGGGAAGTACAATGGCTTGAGATAAAACAGCCCTTTTATAAACGGAAGAAGATGGGAAACACCTGAACGCCTAGCATCTTTCCAATCAATCCTAAAGCCTCTTGTGTATCTTTGTTCTCCTTGTAAAGATGGAACCTATAAACTTAAACCAATGATAAATCAAGGGATACATGTGTAGCAGTTTCAAACCTAATGATCAAATGAAGGCATTGCAGAGACTAGGATGCATAAAGTACAGTCTTTCGTGATTGTATCAGTAACTCCAAGACGCTGATCCACATCTCTCAAGTAGGAAATCCGTTTCAGGTTATACATTTTGAATGATATACTACTATACCAGTCCAATACATAATATATTATATGTTAGATATAAGTTGATTAATAATTGTTACCTGAGAAATTTGCCAACATGCTCTGGCCAATGCTCTGAACCTCTGCTATCAAAAGGTTTATCGCCTCTTTCCTTCCGTTTCTTTGATCTATTACCTCTGTTGTTATGGGCTCCTGAATTCACTCGCACACGGATGCATTTTGAAGTAGAATCAGGACCATCAACAGTGTCAGTCACAAGGAACTTGAAATTCTCTTTAACAAAGTTGTGGATAGCCTGGTTAGTAGTGTAAGAGAAATAGAAGATAGTAAGAATTCAGAAGATAAGGTTGATAACAGGATATGTAACTCAGTAACTAAACCCTATACCGTTCTCTTGGATTTGTCAGAACTTGGATCAAGAACAACTGGTGAGATTTCATCATCAGTTCCTGAGGTTACTTGATTGATCAATGTTTCCAAACGCTCTGCGTCAGTGGCATTGGAAATTGATTTGAATGACTCAATTGCAGAAGTATAATTTTGGGGTACATTATCAGAACTTTTGGTTTTATCTTCCTCCTTCACATCCTGAAAAACAAACAACAACGAAATTGGTACAAAACAAACTAAAAGATAAAAATCGAAACAAAACATAGCTTTATCTAAAAGGTGAACTGAAATGAGGCCAGAGACAAACCATCTCAGGAGGCAAGTCCAAGGATGTCAAATGAACCACATTGCCATTGATATCCACTTCATTAACAATAAAGTCTGCGTATCTACGAAACACAAATACCAAAAAAAAAAAAAAATCAATTTTAATCCAATTCATCTATGAACTTCACCTATACAAAATAAGGGAAACAATAGGTGCATGCATCATTTCAAAACACAACATATCACAAATACACCAAAGAGTTTCATTTATCAAAAAAGGTGTTTCTTTTGGATCCGTTTGTTAACGGTGAAGTAAATAAAGTACCAACCACATCAAGAATCACATAGTTCACAGAAATTATAGAATCACTAAGCTCTAATCAACATATTTGAGAAGCTTACAAAAATTTAATCTCATTCTCTAGCTATATGGAACAAAAAATGTTTGTCTATAAGAACAACCATAATGATATCACGACCTTTGTTTGAGGATCCCGCGGAAGCCAGGGAGCTGGGAGATGAAACAGGAGATGCCCACGTCAGCTTCATCTACTGTTTTCATACCTTCGATAGTTTTATCTGTCGTCGCCATTGTCGTTGTCCAGTGAAAGCTCGAGTAGGGTTTAAGCAGAGACGGCAAACGCAAACAAGACAAGACAGTTCTATTTAGTTTCATTGGCCTAGTAGTTCCCCGCAAGGGCCAAGAAGACGATTGAAATCGAATGCTCTCTAAACGCACCGTTTCGTTCTCCATTGACTTAAGCCGGTTATTGAGCTTTTGATCCCTCCGAACCGATAAATGTTCAAAACCAGATCAGTATCGATGAATCAAATTACTCGGATTCGAATATGCTCTAAACCAGATCGATACGGATACTAAACCGAATCGGTTCATGTCAATGTCTTCTTTGTAGAAAAAGCGACTTTCCTGATCAAGCTTCCCACTTAACACAACAGATCCACAAATTTCATAGGTAGAGCGAATCGGAGCGAAAGAGAGATGGTGACGAAAACGGAGGAGACAGAGTTAAACCAACTCGAGAATCAAGTTGAGAATGGAGGTGGAGGTGTTTGGGAGTATCTGTCCCTCGTTCGTAAGCTCAAGGTTCGCCGATCAGAGATTGTGCTCAAACATGGTCTCTCGATCTTGAACGATCCGGGAAAGCGATCTGCTCTTGGTCCAGATGGTCTGTTTTATTTTGAATTCCTCGGTTATGCTACTTTGTTTATGTGTGTTTTCTCATTGAGGGGAGAGTGTGTTTGTTGATTTCCTGAATCGTTCTCCACCCAATTGCTGCTAATCATGAGTTTCAGCTAAACGAAATTAGTTCAAATTCAGTTTGATATTCTTTCCTTAGTTGGTTTTAATGGTTCTGCTTCCGTTTCCTACTGCTACTTTAATAAATTTTTATCTGCTCAATGCTAATTCTGGTGTCCGTAGACTGATATGTTCGCTGTTTCATCCTTACTTGTGAGGTTAAAATTTCTGTTTAGCTGATACAAGTTCATAATTTAGCAAAAGAGTTTATTTCAGAAAAACCCATTAAGATGAATCTCTGCCCTTCCAATCTGGTCCGATTTGTTTCTGATAACAAAGCTAATAGGTGTTTATATTTACAGTAATCTTAGGGAAACTACTTTGTTTGTTTTACAAAACTAAAGGGCAAAGTGTCTTCCTTTACTTATGCAGAATGGACCCTGTATGAGCAGGTAGCTATTGCAGCTATGGACTGTCAATCTCTTAATGTTGCACAGGTGAATTTCCTTTATGCTTTCCATTGATACCTTTGTTCCTATTTTAAGTTCAGGCTTTGTTGACAAACTTGCATCGGTAAGTCTGTATGTGTATGCTATTTCTTAAGTTTAAACCTCTTTTTTTATAACTTTCTTGTAAATATCATGATCGCCTTGTGATGTGAGTTTTCTGAAAATGAAGGATTGAAATTTGGGTTTGCTTTTGCCTTCCAAATAATTACTCTTTATCCGCTTTTTTCAAGACTGCCCAAGAAAATTTAGATTTCTCACGAGAAGTCAAATTTTTTTTTTTTTTGCAGAATTGCATCAAGGTTCTGAAGAAGAAATTTCCGGAGAGCAAACGTGTTGGTAAGTCAATATTTAATTGTCAACCCTTGACAAACTGAGCAAGTCTTCAATCTTGTTGGACTTCACAATTCGCTGGCATCCCAATCTTGATATTATATATCAGGCAAGCTGGAGGCATTGCTGCTAGAAGCAAAGGGAATGTGGGAAGAGGCTGAAAAAGCGTATACAAGCCTTTTGGAGGATAATCCACTTGATCAAGTAAGCTTTAATTTTTTGCTTTCATGGAACTACCCACAAGCTACATCCAAATGTTAAGTGTTGTAAGTAAAAAACGATGTTTAGGTAATACACAAAAGAAAGGTGGCTATGGCCAAGGCACAGGGCAAACCTTCCCTAGCCATTGAGCATCTAAACAAATATCTTGAAGTGTGAGTACTTACTAACCCCAAGCTGTTCAAATATAAGTACTGTATATTAGAAAAACATACCGCAGCTGATCACCTGTGTCTGCTCTTCTTTCTTTATGTAGATTCATGGCTGATCATGATGCCTGGAGAGAACTTGCAGAAATTTATGTTTCCTTGCAAATGTGTGCTTCTCTATCCTCTCTGTCCTCGACATTTTTTGACTAATAATTCACCATGCAACAATTAACAGTAGTTTTCCATTTTATTGCGAATTTATTATCTATAACAGGTACAAACAAGCAGCTTTCTGCTACGAGGAGCTCATACTAACCCAACCTACTCTTCCACTGTACCACCTAGCATATGCAGATGTAAGACAATCTTTTATTCCTTTATTAAAAGAAGTAAAATTGTGTTTATACTTTTATGGCTATCACCAAAGAGCCTCAAAATGTCATATATGACTTGGTCTGTTTAAGACACTGTATTTAGTATGCATCTTATAATCAATTTGTTGTCGCTTATATCTTACACTGGAAGTTAGTAAGCAATAGAAGAGCCAACTATTTTGTAGAAATCTGAGCATTATTAGCACTTCAATCCAAAAGTTTCTAGGTTTTTGTTTTTGCAAATCTCTAAATTACAGTTTTGATCATGTATGAGCTTGTTTTACTAACGTAATTCTCATTTTGCGTGCCATCCCTGAAATCAGGTTCTCTACACAATTGGTGGACTAGAAAACCTCATCGCAGCAAGAAAGTACTATGCAGCAACCATAGACTTGACAGGTGGTAAAAGCACAAGAGCCCTACTCGGAATATGCTTGGTAAGACCCTCTTTTTTCCGGATACCGGTTTAATCCACTTTGGTTTTCAAAGGACCTAATGGCCGATACATGAATTGTCTGAAATCAGTGTGGATCAGCGATTGCACAGCTCTCAAAAGGCAGGAACAAAGAGGACAAGGACATGGCTGCACCAGAGCTCCAGTCTCTAGCTGCAACTGCATTGGAGAGAGAGTACAAGCAAAAAGCCCCGGCTAAGCTCAACCTGCTTTCTTCTGCCTTGAGAAGCTTGAAAATCTCGAGTTGAAACCACAAGAGTTGAAACAATTTTTTGGTGTTTTGGTTTTAAAGTTTGGCAGACATCTACTCGTTTTCGTTTCCCCTTATAGTTTCCTATTCATATCCCTTGGTTATACTGAATCACTGATGCCGTTTACTTGAGAGTTTGATCAATAGACAATAGCCAATAATAAAATAACCAAAACTCTCGATCGGAACGAGACAAGAGAAAAACTTGACAAATAATTTTGTGAGATTTTAGTGATCACTCAAATTTAAATAAATAACTACATTTTTTTTAATCACTAATTCATAGTATAGTACAAAAATTCACGTATCCTAGTTTTCTTCTCACAGAGAGTTATTTTTGTTTTATCTAAGGTTTTGCAATCGCATAATGTTTTCATTTAGAGATCATAGAGTTAAAGAGGAAAGAAATATATTGGACATCCGAGTGGGCCACATTATATGTAAGGCTTAGCCCACTAATGGGTCGAATTAAGGCCCAGTATATTGTTAGTCTTATGAGTGTCATCAAACTCAAACCCTAGAAGATGACTTTAAATTGAAGAAGCGCCGTAGAAGCATTTTTAGGTTTTATCGTGTTTTGATTCTTCTCTGTTCGTCGTCGACCTATCTTCCCCAGCCATGGCCGTCGGGTATGTTTTCTCCAGATATTCCTCGTTTCTACTATCTGATCTGTAATCTCATAAGTATTCATCACCTAACTGTGAGTGTTACTCTACTTGCGTTGTAGGAAAAACAAGAGAATCTCTAAGGGTAGGAAGGGAGGAAAGAAGAAGGCGTAAGCACTCTTTATCTTTATCGTAGTTTGTCTTCTCTACAATGTGTATGTATTAGTAGACTCTCTATGTTGTAGTATGAGAAGCTGAATCTGTCATTTTTGAATGAATTAATTGATGCAGTGTTGATCCCTTCTCCAAGAAGGATTGGTATGATGTTAAGGCTCCTTCAATCTTCACCCACAAGAATGTTGGAAAGACGCTTGTTTCCAGAACCCAGGGTACCAAGGTAATGTTTCTGTCTCTCTTTCACAATCTCTTCGAATTGAGTTTGCTGCTTAGACTCGTCTTAGAATCAGTTGGTTTTATTTGAACTGATTTGAATCACCTAGGCCAATTCTTTATGATTCTTTGGATTGATTGTTACAGTTGAATGTCTTATGTTACCATGTTTTGCAGTAGATGTCAGAAAGATTAGATGTTTGTATTGTATGGTATGTGCCTACTTTGAGACTGATGGTCTTTGTATCTGTCTAACCTCGTTTTGCGTCTTTTTAACCCCACCCAGATTGCCTCTGAAGGCTTGAAGCACAGAGTTTTTGAGGTTTCTCTAGCTGATCTTCAAGGTGATGAAGACAATGCTTACAGGAAGATCCGTCTCAGAGCTGAAGATGTCCAAGGCAGGAACGTTTTGTGCCAATTCTGGGTAAGGACACTTTATGAAACATTGATTCCGGACCTTGGCTATTGTTTTTATTCTGGTTTATTTTCCCCCAAATTGATGGGATCTTGACAGTTTTATATGTTTTCATATATAGGGCATGGACTTCACCACTGACAAACTTAGGTCGTTAGTTAAGAAGTGGCAGACTTTGATTGAGGCTCATGTTGATGTTAAAACCACCGATAGCTACACTCTCAGGCTATTCTGCATTGCCTTTACCAAGAGACGTGCTAACCAGGTCAAGAGGACTTGCTACGCTCAGTCCAGCCAAGTTCGTCAGGTATTCATCCAGATATTATCTAAATAAATCTATTACTCTTTGGAATCTTACATGTTGTCAAGTCTCTTTGCTGAGTCTTATTCCTTCAATCTTTGATCTTTATTTCTGTTGAACTTACATGGGTCCATTTGTTGATGAGCCTTTGTCTCCTTCATTTGATTTCCCCTAACAATAGGTGAAAACCTCTTTGATATTAATTCACCTGTCTTTTTGTGCATCCTTCAGATTCGTAGGAAAATGAGGGATATTATGGTTAAGGAAGCTTCCTCATGTGACCTTAAGGAGCTTGTTGCCAAGTTCATTCCCGAAGCTATTGGGAAGGAGATTGAGAAGGCAACTCAGAACATCTACCCTCTTCAGAACGTTTTCATCCGTAAAGTCAAGATCCTGAAGGCACCCAAATTCGACCTTGGCAAGCTCATGGATGTGAGTGAAGAAGATGAACACTAATATTTGCTATGATTCATTACCTAGGATATAGATATATAAATTGAATGCCTGTGTTTTAATCTGTGTAGGTTCACGGAGATTACACAGCAGAAGATGTTGGTGTTAAGGTAGACAGGCCAGCCGAGGAGACCGTTGAGGAACCTACTGAAATCATCGGAGCATAAGAAATGGTTTTGTTAAAATTGAGAGATCTCTTTTTCTTCTAAACTTTTAGCCTTTTAATGCTTTGTGTCGTTTCTCACTCTTTTTGTTCCCTCAGTTTTTCTTTTTGCTGTATTGATGACTTTTCTCAGTGTAAACTTGCGAGTTTTTGATAATTTATGAAACACCTTCTCTGAATTTATAACTGAATTTATGAAACAAATTATACCATGATGAGCGTCTCTAATATTTTCGAAATTGATCTTTTGTTAATTTTGTTTTGTTTATTTATGCGCATTTTTGTTCAGACCAATTTTTGATTAAAATTTGTTGGGATCGTATATAACTTATTTACAAGTCGCAGTGGTAGACTTTTTAATAATATAGTTCCAATACAGTTTTTTTTTTTTTTTGTGAACAAAGATTCAATACAATTTAGATTTTAGCTTTCATACAAAAAAAAATATCTTTGTACGTTAATCAGAAATTCAGAATGTATGGATTTTTTTTATAATTACAACAGTATATTACATACCTTCTCGTTTACACGATATTGTTGATAATATTTAATTCCGTAATAAATGCTAACATATATCGAGTCACTACAAAGTACAAACCTTTCTTCAGTGAAAAACAAAGACTACATAATTATAGAAGAGCAGAACAATACAAACACACATTCACATCCTAAGCAAAAATCTTCCATACATATATTATCTTAAAATATACACCTACCAAACTTGGAAGTAACAGATGGAAGTGAGATCAAACAAAACCCATGCGAGCAACAGCAGAAGACGTAGAGCTTTTCACAGTGATTTTAATTGATTGATTCGTGGCCGATAGACAACACGAGTCTCCTAGTTCTTCACATGCTGTATCTGAGAAATCAGTATCAGAGTTCAGACAGTTTTCGCAGTGATGCTAAGGAACGAAATGCTACAGGACTTTGGAGCAACACACAGTTCCTTCTCTCACTCTTTGAGGCATCTTCATTTTGGCTGAGAATGAGAATCCGGGACTGTCAATGATTAGAGATCAGTATATTCACAGTCAATGTAGAGAACTAATGATACCTTGAAGCATCGGCATGATCATCATTATCTTTAGCTTCATCATTGATTGTAACCGCATCAGATTCTCCCTCACATTTCTCTGAGAAGAATGTAAAAATCAAAAATAAATTTATACTCAAATGAAAGAAAGGGTATTAGATAATTGAAAGCTTACCATTTTTGTGAATAAAATTATTCTTGCATCCCATGCATCTGCAGTTCGAGGAGCATCCAACGCCCATCTTGATAAAGTCATTACAACATCCATGGTTCAGAAGGATGACATTATTGAAGATTTAAGTGTGAACAACAAAGCTGGACAAGTGAAACCAAAGTTACCATATAGCATTCACAATATTTCTTTAGGCAGCCTGATTTCCTGCAATTGCATCCTCTTGTATGTCTTGCTGAGGCAGGGGTCTTGCTGTTTTCGTCCTACAGATTTATTATAAACATGAGATACAAAAAAAACAAAAAAAAAAAATCTCATCACTAACTAGTTGCATCCATACTTTAATCAGCATATCAAGCAATGCAGTAGAGTCTAAGTTTCTCCTTTATTATGTATTTGAGCTCACAGTTAATCTCATGATATATCTTACCCATAAATCTATAGCAGAATCAGAGGTCGAGACCACTTTTGGAGCGAAAGCTAATGGATTGCGAGCTTCAATCACTTCACGAGCTTTTATAACTAGGTCTTCATGAATGGGCTTATTGAAACAATTTTGACATGAACAAGGTTCAACACAGTATAGACCAGCAGCAAAACAATCGCAATACCTGTACAGCATATGAAAATGTAATTAACAATGAATTGATGTCTATGTCTGCACAACCTGAAACTTACTCTATTTAGCAACTTAAGCTAGGTTTCAGAAAAAGGCCTGAGCTTTTTTAACAAAAAAAAGGTATGAACTTTTGGCAAAAAAGTGTTCTGGAACACAAAGCTGACAATGCTGCACTTTCAGCTAGACAGAACAACATCTGGAACAGACTTCATACATTATCTTATTCGCTTGAAATAGAGTATCCAGTGAAACCGACTCTCAATAGCTTTCAGGAAAGTAGGAATACAAACCTAATCGGCTAATCATATCAGTTAAAAACAAACGTTTTTGGCATCTGAAAATTGTGCCTATGGAATGGTCGTAAGGAAAGCACTTACAGCTTCAAGCATTTGGATTTCCTACATTTACAGCGCTTACAGCTACCAAGTTCGTCAAGTCCTTGAGACAATTTCCTGTATTAATCAATATTCCAGTATAAAGTTTGGTATTCATAGGCTCATAGATTTGTACCTGATGGCTGGAATATGATAAGGAACATCAGAATATTTTCTCACCTATTTTTTGTTGCCATGTGTTGGTCAAAAGATTCTCCTTCCATTGATCTCTCAGGAGCCTCCATGATTTTGACATCACTGTAACCTAAATCTCTTTTTGTGGAGACAGGAGTTGAGAATTCATCTTTAATATTATGATGAAATGTTGTAGGAACTGGAGGAAAATACCGATCATCATTGATTTTTTTTTTTTTGCGGTCACTAGAGACTGAGGGGTTCACAAAAGAATTCAAGTGCAGGCCAATAGTTCGTGGTATGGGTATAATCTCATCAGTATCTTGTTTGCTGGTTTCTAAACACTCTTGTGGACTAGGAGCTTTGCTGATAGAGGCAGAATGAAGAGGAAGATCGTTCGTAGAATCACGCAAAGGTATCTTTTTGTGAGAGCCTCCCACGTCAAAAGTCAAGCAGCGCCTGCGAACACTTTGTTGCTGCAAGAGTCAATTTAAAGTTAGTAGCAAGTTCTTTTAAAGTTTGAATCAATTCATAAGCTAGCAGATGAAGGATAATTCTACTTGCAATTAGGAACCAAATGATATATCTAGCAAATAACCATCTGAAATCTAAGTCTCCGAAAAAACATCATGAGTTCTGGAAAACTATCAGAAAGGTAAAGATGAACGAAATGTCGCTGTTGAAGTTGATGGAAATATCAAAATTTGTACAACTAAAATAAAATGTCAACTTAAACACATGACCAAAGCCCACAGCTGAACAGATGAATCAACGAATCAGCAAATCAGCAGAGTATACACATGGACAATAAGTAATCATGAGGTCTGAGAAAAATTTTACCATTACATAAAGTCAATGAAAAACCAATGTACTGAGATATTACCTTGCGACTGGGCTGTAGGCCTGTATCTTCCTTGCATTCAGCTTCGGCAATTGAAGCAATAGCTGCAACCTTGGAGGACCTGTTGAGAGTAATTTCTGGAGCTCCAGGTGAAATTTGTACACTGCAAGAACCTCTAGGCTCAACTACATTCACTGAGTTATTACAACAGATAGAAAACTGCAGAGGCTCAGAAGCAAAAGAATAGAATTTAGGATCTGTGATCTTTGGAATCTGTTGCTCACTGTTCTGGATACCAGCAACCTCAAGCATGGCATTTTCTGCCCCAAACACACTCACAGTTCCCATTTCTTCAGTTTGAAGTACCCCATCTGAACCAGCATCAAAGTCAAGTGAATCATTAGTCTGTCTACATAACTCATCAGAAAGCTCTCTCAATCCACCACTTCTTCCTATTTCATTTTCAGCATCCATTGGTTCTTCATCACAGGAAACCATTTGACTATCACATCCCTCCCTTCCATTTTTAAGTGAATCTGCCAACTCAATTGCTAAGCTTAACTGCTCCTTAAATGGCTTGGTTTCAGAAACATTAGCCAACCGCGCAGGTCTACACTTTAGCTGCTCCTCACTCAGACCAGTTATCTTTACAGCTTCCAGAGCATCTGGTGAGTTTTTGACAGTCTCACCAATGACAACTACTGGGCTAGATAAATCTAGTGTACGATGCCTAAAGAAGCAACATAGCCATCCAACAAAAATAACAAATGTCAGCATATAAACACGAACAACAAATCTTTCTCCTATGGATCAAGTTACCTTTTGATGGAAAATCTGGAATCTCGGTAAGAGTTTAACTGCGGCGAACTAAATAGAGATGACGGAGATGTAAAAGCCAATGAGTGCAAGATATTATCTGAGCGTGGTGGCTTTACTGGCTCTATGGGTGAAAGATCATTAATATATTGAAAAACTGGAGAATCCTGCAGATGAAGGACATTCAAGTGAGAACCTAACTCATTGCAACTCGATTCAACAACAAAGAAATGCGAACATATTAGCCAAAAACTCTAATCGACTCAAATTGCTGAAAACAACAAGGAAACGAAGACGATCACTAAACCCCAAAACCTAATTTAAACCCAAAAAATCATAGAGCGCACAGTAATTAGATTCGATGAAGACGAAGCAAATTTAGGAAACATTTTAGATGTAAATTAATTTCAATTGAAGTCGGAAACCTTCATAAACGCAGAGGAGAGAAGAAACAAAAAAACGAAAGTAGGAGCAGAATATCATGGTTAGAAAGTAGGACTGAGAGAAGACCTCAAAGTTGCGGAAGGAAACGGCGGAGATGCGGTTCTTCTCAGGAGTGTCCATCTCCGGCGAAGTTTATTATCACTGGGGTCGGACTTCAGATTCGCCTCTACGCAAAGCAACGAAGCCCTAAAAAATATAAATAGAGAAGAGAGCGGATCGGTTAAGTGAAGAAGACGAAGAAGGAGAAGAAGGTGGAGATTTCAATGGAGGAGGAGCGGGAAAGCGGAAAACAGTAATGTGAAAAGCCGTCTGCTTTGGTTTCTCCCTGATTAACCAAATATAAAAAAATGTAAAACGTAAAATCAGACTTTAAAGGGCCCATTGGGTTTAAATTTAAGACTTTAAAGGCCTGATAAGAAATGCAATATGCTTCTTTTATTGGGCCAATTTATTTTTTAAAAGGAACAACTAAATAAAATTGGTCCGAACCGGTTTGCTGGAGAAGTAGGGTCGAGATGGCATGGTCTAGGAGACTGATGCTGCTGTATTGTCATTGCCTCATCTATCTTATTATTTTTGCAACACTTTTTTTGACCACCTTTTCCTAAAATTTTGTTTACAAAAAATGTCCTTCACGATTGACTATACACATCTATTTCATTAAGGATAAAAAAGAAAATAACCATTGCGGGTCGGTTTAGTTTTTTTGAAATCAGACCCGATTAAAAAATATGGATACTAGCCTAATAACACACGTCCATAATTCATAATAAATAAGATAGATTCTCACGGTTCTATTTGGCCCATCTCATATGTTCATGATCAATTGATATAAAAACAAAATGCTATTGGGCTTGCGATAGCTTATGTTGGTGTCAGTAATATTATTGTTTTACCCCGTTGGCATATGATTAATGTGTTCGATAAAAAGCTTATGTTGCAAACGTAATTCTGTATCGAGCGGATTCATGAACTAAAAATGTTTAATATATTGTCAAAGTATTATAATATGTGGACCTCGAATGTACGAATGTGTGTGAACGATATCTGTTACATTATAGTGCTCCCAATTTTGGAATAATTATATTATAACATTTTCTGTAAAATGGTGTCTATTTTAATATAATCAAGAATACGTATTTAGTATCCAACATAAAATTTTCGTGGTTTTGGACTAGCCTTATCAAAATATAGTGAGAATGATCGGTTTTTTAATGTGCTGCTCCTCAAAATAACCGGTTAAATATCACATTTATATTAAACGGTACTAATTTGCATAAATGTTATCGAATCACAATCTCATAATATAAATGGAAACCTGAATAAGGAAACTAATATCATTACGATTGGTAATAGTTTGTCCACCCTTACATTACTCCCCTGATCAACTTCCATCTGCATTGAATACATAAATTAAAGCATAACAGATGACAATTATATCATTTATCTATATTAAGAAATATCATTTACTCTTTCAACTAATCACATAATCAACTTTGAATACGACGCATAATATTGCGGTGTATATGCTGCGCATATATTGTGATTGACTGTAACTTTCTGTTTTATATAATTAATCTTTCCATACGTAGGTAAACTAATAAACTTGCTCCTCAAGTCGCACTTCTATAGAGACGAAAGCCCTAGCCTACGCACCATCTACTATATATATCCGTCTGATACACTACCAAAGTTAACCACAGTCGACTACATCTCTTCAAATCATAAGCAACTACAACACCGATTATGGCTGCATCATTCGCTTACCTAAGGGACGTCCGTCCTTACAAAACCGCTTGGAGAATCCAGGTGAAAGTCCTTCGCTCTTGGCGACAGTACACGAGCATGTCTGGTGAGACCTTGGAGTTGATTGTATCTGATGACAAGGTTAGTCCACATACAGATCATGTGTATTATTCTTATACAATATTGATCATTGTAAGAGTAACCGAAGACGCGACACACCTTCTAAAAACTCTTACCGAAGATTTTTTTTTTTTTACCAAATTTTATGTTGACAGCACTCTGAAGACAACAAAATACAGCAGAAGAAGAACACAAATCAATAAACGATTTGGTAACATACCAGAATGGCTTCCTTCGTAGCTACCTTTGTGAGTTCCCATCTGTATAAATCTTGAGACATAAGTTCTATATCAAAATTATCCCATTTACATATATTTATGTATTGTTTCTCATAACAACATATTTTAAATGAAACAAATCCTGAAGGATTACTTACGAGACATCATATTGTTGAGAAGATGAAGGAGATTGCAGAGATGAATGAGTATCCAAATCTTGGAGTATATTGAGAAAAGAAGACAAGAAATCAGGTACCGTAGAAAGATTTTAGTCCAAAAATTATAGATGTTTGTCAGATAAATGGGGCTTCATGGTAGCCTATGTTCCTTCTCTGCTCTCCATTTTTGTTATGTCCTTATCTCTCTCTCTTTGATAGCACCAGTTGTATAGTCTGATAACAAACATTTTACAAGTTATAACAGAAACAAGATCCAAGATCCAGAAGCATTGTCAGGGTCATGTCTGGCTCATGTTACAATAATGTAAGCATCTAGACGAAAAGGTTCTGCTTATTCGTATCTCTAATTAAATTAAACTATAATAATTAGTCCCTTGATTTTAATTTACAGACTCAAAAGAAAAAGACTATCAAGAAGATGACATAAGGCTGAAGAAGCTTGATTTAATATAGAAGCTGATATGGCTGTTGGATTTAAATTTCTGTTTTAATCTATCTTTGCAATGAGACAATATAAGATTCTTTTTAATGGCTATTATAGTTTGTATAAAGGATCTTTTGGTTAACTTTCATTTTCAGTTCTAATGTTTATTAAGCAACTCTCATTCTCAAGTTCTAATGTTTATGTTTATTAATATAAAGGAAAATTGGCAGAAAGCATAAGCTAAATCTATGAAGTATATAGTAGTTGAGAAAAAAGAAAAACACTATTCGATCTCATAAGCTACATTATTTGATGAAAGTGGAGAAGATTTGAAGTTTCTTACCTGTGTAACGACTCCCAAAGCGATTTGGACTTAGAAGAAGACTTTCCTTTATGAATTGTTATAATCCTGATAACAAACATTTTACAAGTTATAACAAAAACAAAAAAAATGTTAGTAGTTTTACTAAAAACATTGCACAAAGTAAAAAGAAAGATATGCACAAAGCATTACTTTACAAGAGTGTTAAGAACCATGTCCAACATAATAGATCAATGAAATAACAGATGAAGATATCCCTGATTAAGAACTGAATCTCATAAACTATGACTAAATCAGTAATACAAGTGGTATGGGGATATAGGACGTTTATGTGCACATACACAAAAAAAAAAAAGCATAATTCGCAAAATTCAATAACGAAAATCAAATGCGTATTGAAAGATCTGACTTAGACAAAGGGGAAGAAAATTCAGACATAGAGATAGAATTGAGATGAGACGTTGACGATTACAGTGCAAAGAAAATATGATGGGCCTCTGAAATTCCCAGACGAATTGAGGTTTCGAGGTTTCAAATTTGGTATTAACAAATCTCAATTCGCAAATACCCTAAACACTAGATTTAGGGGGTTAGAAGAATAAAGAATCAGGCTTTTGCATCATATGATGTAATTAAAGAGTAGAGACTGATGATTGTTGAAGTCAATTGTGGAAGAAGCTGTCATCGTTAGAGTTGACAAGAAGATACCTGTGTATTGGGAACTCTCTTTTCTACTTCGAAATTAAGCTTCCAATTCGGCAATTACTCAGACAAATTATAACCTCTATTTGTTAATTCTAGATTGTAGAGTATGCATGTATAATCACAGAATGAAAATTCTAGCTTAGAGGAGGAAGAGAACTGGTTTGCCCCAAAAAAAATATATATATATAATGAGGAAGAGAACTGAAAAGGATCGACAAGTTTTTTTTTTGCTGAACAAAGTGTTGGTGTTTTATTTTTATTTTTGTTCGTTTCATATTTGTTAAATCAAAGAAAAAATGAAAAGCAAACAACAAAATGAAAAGTAAACAAAGACTAGGGCCCAAACAAATTAGAAGTCCATTCGGAAAATGAAAAAAAAACATTTTCTAAGTACAGAACTATCATTTCTCCTGTTTTATTTGAATTTCTTTTTTTTTTGTTAACCTTTACATTATTATTTCTCTTCTATCATATTTCCTTAAAAAAATTTTTATACTAAATCACTCTTATGCATTTCATAACTTGGTGTTATACAAAATGTATATCCAGACAATTGTTAATAATTGGCTTCCACTTTCCTTGACCATTTTAATTATAAGAAGGGTATCATATTAAAACATTACATTTTGAACAAAAAAAACATTACATTAAAATTATGCAAATTTCATATTTATCTAACAAAATCAAACCAGAATTATATACTACGACTTTTATAATAAAATTTTATTAAATTAATTGTTTTGCGGTGTATTATTTAATCACACTAAATATAATAATTTTAATATTTTTTTAAAAAACTAAAAATATTATAAACATCAATCTTATAAAATATAAAAAATCAGTGGACAGAGTTATATTGGTGGGATGGGTTTGAACCAAAATTTAAAATATTTTAATCTAGTTTTACAACACGGGTAAATCATCGTGTGATATGATATTTTACACTTATTTATAAGATAGACCCACATGCATCCAATAACACATACTATTAGTTATTGCAAAATACCAATATATATATATACACATATATATAACACTGTAAAACCTATATTAAAACTCAAAGAACTCAATTTTTTGTTTAAAGAAACTCTATTTATAATACAAAATTATAAAATGATATATATAAACAAATAAAAAAACAAAAAAAATCATGTGGTGTACGACATGGTAGATTCTAGATTTGGAAAGAGTTCTACAGGTTATTTACCAGAAATTGCTGAAGTGGAATCGCATATGAGTAATTGGAAACATCAATCGCTTACCCTTTCAATTAGATCCGCAATCGGAATGAAGAATCGTGGTGTAGACGGTTTCTGGATTTGTAAATTTCAAATAATTTGAAGGGAGCGCACAAAACTGAATCTTAGCGGACCAGTTCGAAATCAACATAATCTTCAAAGGCGATATGAAGTCTGTCGGCAAATTGGAAGAATCGAGTTGTCATGGTAACGAGTGTGGATTAAAAAAAAATCAAATCTTCTATATTTTGGACAAAATATTTTGTTCAACAAGAAAGAAAAATTTGATGACCTGGTAGATCGGCAACGATTAAATGTACGTTTTGCTATTAGATACAGTAAAACAAAGACACATTAGGTGGGGCTCATTAAGTTTGCTAAGCAAAAATCGTGAGCTACAACTGCACACTTCTACTAAGCCTATTTGGAAAGTGTAAATTCACATCATTTCTTACACAATATTCCATTAATCTACAAATATTATTACCCACTATAACTGCAAACTATCATTAAACCATCTCTATTAATTTCATATACTATTTCCAAAAAACCATGTAATGATAAACACACATTTACATGTACTATCATACAACATTTACATGTACTATCATACAACATAATACTTAGAATATACTAAAAATATATACTAAACCTTTAAAATAAATACAAATATATGATAAACCTTTAAAATAAATAAAAATAAAATTGTCTAAACAAACTTTTTATATACCGTACGTATGACGACAAAAAAAAAAAATATATATATATATATATACCGTACGTATATATAAACTATAACAGCTAAGGTTTTATATAGCAGATATGCATAAGCTACTAGCCCCGTGGTGTACCACGGGGTAAAATCTAGTTGGCATTATTATTACAGAAACAGACAGAAAGGCAAACATGTGATGATTCCACATAGACCCAAAAGAAATTTTGTTGTAGCCATAGGAAGCATTACAAAGGACCCATCTATATGTATGTCTTCCCCCTTTCCCATTAACCTTTTCAAGATTCCCTCATACAAAAAGAGCCTAAATTAATATATTATAAAACGAGAGATCAAACAGACGGCAAGCTGTTTCAGAGATTCTTCATTAAACTGTATACAGTTTTGTGTTCAGGTCCCCCCAACCACCCATTGAGATATCCAAATCTAAAAGTTTGAATTGACGTATAAAGTAACTTGGCTTGCTCTAAAAGATTTTTCTCTGACTTGACAATCCAAGAGGACTTTGATGTTCTTTCAAGCAAGAGTGCTCAGTCGTACACTTTTTTTGAATCATTAGAGACTTTGCAAACCCTCTCATGGTCACGGGCTGATGTTACAAGAACATCTTCAAGGAGAAGTTTTCTAATACATTATTGGACAGAAGACTCCAGACATTTTATTCAGACAGTTTTTCTTATGAACAGGAACAACTATGATTACTTTTGTTTGAACCAAGTGGAAAACTCTACCAACACCAATAAAAATACAAGATAAATGCCCTTATAAACTGAAAATTTCAGCTGTCCTGGATGGCTAAAGGATAGACCAAAACAAGCAAATAACTATGATGTGAAAACTTTAAGAACCATGACTCACTTATTTACAATTCAAGAATCTTCAAGTACAAACCCATTTCTATCTAGAATTCTTGATTAAACACTCTTTGTACCTGCAAACAGCTGGATGATAACAAAAGTGCCATATACAATGTCTGAGAAGGTATGGGGAGAAACAAAACCAAAGACATGGAATATCTCCAAGGAAGATACACATGCTTATTAAAATGATGCAGCATGAACGATCTATGTTGCTAGAATGATGCAAAGTACATGTTGCTAGCCATCTTAAGAGTTACTAACTACTAACTTCAGCTCAGGGCATAATGATCTGTTTTGTCCACAAACGAGCAGCGGGAAATCATAAAAGAAGAAAGACCATAAGCCAAGGAAAGCCGTAATGTAGTTAGCAGTATCCATGCTAGTGAGTAAACAATGAAACATTCTGCACCTGGAAAAGAAAACAGAGTATCTAGACAGTTGATTTCTTGATACAGGTAACAAAGCAATCGGCTTTGAACAAGAGTCTTTACAGGTATCACGTAGTAACTTTGACATACGAAACTGATATCTACGAAGAATAAGAGTTCTTCTTGACTGATCCGGTTTCCAACATTTTACGGGAATATATAATTGAAACCCATTGATCCATCATATGATAAAACAAATTGGCAAGAATCACAGTTCCATTTTAACCTTTAGTTAGCAATGGAGTAAAAGAAAAGAACTCTCAAAACTCTTCTCCTCTACTCGTTCTTCCAAGCGTACAGGATCAATGAAAAGCCAAAACTTTGAGATTTCGAGCTCGCAGGGACCTGTGTGAAAGACCAGGTCTTTTCAACTGATTGAGTAGTCCTGAACATAAATACGGCATTTCCTGCTGTTGATGGCAACCCAAAGAACCAACTGTGGACATCCCAGAGAACTTCAACGGAGAGCCTATTGACGATAATAGTATCGTTGCCACGGAACTTCCAGTGAAGCCGATTCACCTGCATCAAGGTCTTCCCATCGACACGAAGAATGAGGCAAGGATCACTCAGAGTGGTGTCACATTCGATGAGAAGATCATGTGTTTTGCCATCATCCGAAAACTGAGCTTTAGTTGCAAAGGATCTCTTGCCAAAGACATGCTCTTTCTTAGCAATAAAGACAGCACCTAATGATGATGAAGAAGGTGCAGCACTCGTCTTCTTGAAAGCTTCTTTCCTCATATCACCAAGAAGAAGAGCCATTTCTTTGTCCACAACAACGCCAACATAGAAGCCACCTAGAGGTTCAGGGCTGGATCCGAATTTAGCGGAGGAGAGATCCCAGAAGACATCAATGTTACAGGAATAGGCCTCAAGATTCTTAGAACCTTTTCGTTTGGTAAAGAGCCAGGGCTTAATCTCGACTTTACACAGACTTCGGTTGCAAGAATCATCAACTCCGACGGTAACACACTGACCCATAAGATTCTTAGTCCAGGAGACAGTGATCAAGCAAGTCCTACCTCGGATGCGGCAACGGTAGATACAAATGACCAAGTTCTGAGCATTTCTCCCGGCGCTCAAAGACGAAGAATCCGCAATCTGAACGCCATTTTCACCAGAGCAAGATGGAAAATCTCTCATTTTTCTTTACAGAATTCACCAATTTTCCAGCCTCTGTCTCTCTCTACGGAATTTCAACAAACACCTTGTGTCCTAAACTACGGAACGCTGACCAAATCAAAGTCGGCGAATTCAACTTCAGATTAGTAGCGAAATTTTCATTTAAGAACAAAAAAAAAAAAAAGAAGTGTTATAGAATAGACCTGAAAGTGAAGAGTTTCATGATAAAAAAAAAAAAAAGAGAAACCCCAATCTCAAAAATAAAAAAGCATTGATATTAGGAAAATGTCAACAAGATTTGATCTGGGTTTTACCAAATCGATCCAGTTTCCATCAAACCCAAGGAGAGAATGAAGAAAAAAAGCCTGAGACTCCGGGAGGGAGAGAGAAAATAAAATGAAGCAAGCCAAATTCGCCAAAATAGAGGGGAATGTGTGTATGCTTATTGTAGTCAAAATAAAGACAGATACAGACAAAACAGGATACTTTGTTCGTTTTCACTGTCTTTAGTCATTTTTCTTCTTCTTTCAAAACGTTAAAATAGTTACCCGATTCTTTTTTTTTTTTTTTGTGTATGTGACAAATTAGTACCAAATACGAATTTTAATTCCAATGAAAACGACTGTGAGAATAATAAATTTCAGACAACAAAAACTTATCTATTCATTTTTTTTTATATAAACTTATCTCAAATATTAATTAAAAGGGTCAACAACCTTGGTTTCGAATTCATGTTACTGTGGAGACGAAAATACCTTGAGAAGTTATAACTAAAAAAGAAAAAGTGTTATACTTTTGTCTCACTAATCTTACTTGTTACATAAATTAAATTTGGGGTATGTGCAAGCCTGGAAGAAATGGTAAACACGTGTGGGTATACCATGATAAGCAGGCATGCAATTAATATGGCCACAACTGAGAGAGCCCATACTGTCGCTGTTATTCTACCCTCCCGACTGGGCTTTCTTCTTTTCATTTTGAGGTTGGGTGGTTCAGACACAGAGATTAGAGATTCATATGAATTAATATTTTAGTACGATAATGATAATAATCAATCAATCCATTCGACCTTTTGATTCGATTGTCAACCAAATAGGTTGGTGATGCAGCTGAAGCATATATGACTCCTCAATATATCGTAAACTAATAAAAGCCATACATTTACCAAATTAAATGGGCTTCTTTTTTTTTTTACCATTTGTTTCTATCTATCAACTTTTTTTTAATCGACTTGGTAAAACGACGATTACCAAATTGATTATTATTATTTATTTCATGCTCTGTGATATTAGTATTATTCATTTTGTTTTTAGTTTTGTGTGGCAATGCTTCTGCTTCTGCAAAAAGTCTTCAAGTGATAATGCATTATCAAATATGGTTTTCCATTACGCTTCAAATCTTTTTTTAGATTTGGACCAGCCTGTATTAATCTTCGGTCCCAGTTTAACATTATTAGTTTTTCTTGCCGTCTGTTGTTTTATTTTATTTCATTGTGGTTTCATTTTCGTAATTAATATTATCGTTGTTGACGTTATTTGTTTTTATTTTGGTTTTAAAATTTAATAATCCGTCTCCTTACCTACTTTCAGTTTGTTTCTTCTTTTGACACAAGTCAATAACCTTACTCGGAGCTATGGACATCTTCTCAATCCAAACCAAAAAAAGGAAAAGAAAACAGCAATAAGAACATAAATGGAGTTAAGTAGAGTCTTAGAAAAGAAAACAGCTATAAGAACATAAATGGAGTTAAGTAGAGTCTTAGAAAAGAAAACAGCAATTAGTTTGGTTATTGTTTTTTTTTTTCATGAAAGACATTCCCTATTGGGTTTCCGTTCTTCATGATAGGGTTATATTTCATTATTTTTTTTTATATATAAAACCAAACATAAATTAGTGGATATGTTGCCAATAAGAATTGAGGGAATATCAAAGAGAACGCTGACCAAATATTTTTGGGCCTCAATCTTATTAAATTGACCAGCCCATTATCGACTCTGGTTATCTAAATGCACTTCTTCACCTAATTTTCTTTTAATAAATTTAAAATTTGATTCGGTGGTCAAAAAATTAAAAAAATTAAAATTTGATTGAGTTTTAGGATTATATTTTAATTCGATACTGATACGTTTAGATTATACAAGTACAACATAAAAAAAAAAAAAAAGTTAAATCCCACTGAACACAGTTGTTGTTACACCAGTAACCACAAGAGTTTATGCGGAGAGAAAGAAAGCAACATACATACATACATCATCGCAAACAAAGTTTGTTCATCGCTCATTTTAACTCATAAGTAGTAGTAGATTTACTTGTTCGTTCTTCCTCTTTTATTTAAGAAAAAAATAAACAAAAAACAAAAAAAAACTCTCCCTTTTTTTTTTCTTTTTGTTCTTGTGAATAAATCATTTGCTCTTATCTGAGTTGATTGGCCATGGCTTCTTCAATCGTTTTCGCTGCAACTCCGGTTACTGGCTTTCTCTCCGTTCCCCCATTGAAGTCTCGGAGGTTTCACGTTTGTTCTTCACTCGACACCGATGTTTCCGACATGAGTGTTAACGGTAATCATCCAAACAAACCAACCAAACAAAATTGAATCTTTACTGGCTTGAGAAATTAACATGTATTTGGATTTAAGGGCTTAGCTTTATGCCACGAACCACCCCAATTTTGAAGATGTTGAGTTTCAATTCTCATCCAATCTATTAAATTTTATGAGATTTCTTATCATATAAGATGAATTCTGAATTCTGAACTCTGAAGGCTTAGATGATAGGATCCTGTGGCTTCTCTATGCTCAAGGCAAATTAACAGTGTTAGAAATGGTGAGTTAGGTCAAGACTTTTACAGTCAGTCCAAGATTCTCTTTTGTTTATATAATCATTGTAGTTTTATATCCATGGGAGTTACTAGTGGTTGAGTTTAAGTAATCAAATGACATCTGAAAACTCGCTGGAACTCAGGGTTTTCTTTGAGGTTTCATGTTGTTAGGACAAGTTTCTTCTGATGATGATGCTGTTCTGGATTATTGTAATTCTCTTACCGTTTAAGTGGACTCGATATAAATACAGCTCCAAAAGGGCTATTTCCTCCAGAGCCTGTACCGTACAAGGGACCGAAGCTGAAAGTAGCTATCATAGGTGCTGGACTTGCTGGCATGTCAACTGCTGTAGAGCTTTTGGATCAGGGTCATGAGGTGTTTACTCCTCTCCTTAGCTGTTTTCCTTTGATTTAATTACATATAAGAGTAATCTTTGTTATTGTTTCAGGTGGATATATATGATTCTAGGACATTCATTGGTGGCAAGGTGGGTTCTTTTGTAGATAGACGTGGGAACCATATCGAAATGGGACTTCATGTTTTCTTTGGATGCTACAACAATCTCTTCCGCTTGATGAAAAAGGTTTTGGTTTTCCAAAGCTTCCGCTCGAGTTTGCCTGATGGTTGAGACTCATTCTCATGTAAGGTTTTTTTTTTGGAATGTAGGTGGGTGCTGAAAAAAACCTTCTTGTCAAAGACCATACTCATACATTTATAAACAAAGACGGCACAATTGGAGGTATGGTTTAGTTTCTCTTGTTATGATTGCCTCTGTGATTTTATCGTAGTACTGAGATGTGCATCTAATTTGTAGAGCTTGATTTTCGGTTTCCTGTTGGAGCTCCAATTCATGGTATTCGCGCATTTTTGGTCACAAATCAACTCAAGGTATAACCTTAACTTTTAGATTGATTTCTCCAGAGACATCTGAATCTATGGATTCATGTCAATGCACTTTTCCAACAGTTTTCTCGAACTTTATAGCAAAAGATTAAGAATTTCTTACTCTATTACCAATATAGAGCTTATTAACCGCTTCTTCTTTTGACCGAACAGCCCTATGATAAACTAAGGAATTCACTGGCTCTTGCATTGAGCCCGGTTGTTAAAGCTCTTGTTGACCCTGACGGAGCAATGAGAGACATTCGCAATCTTGACAGCGTAAAGAATGATAGATAACCTCTTTCTTCTCATTTCTACCACTATTTTTGTCCTCTAAATTTTCTGAGATACTTTTTGCAGATAAGTTTCTCGGATTGGTTCATGTCAAAAGGTGGGACACGAGCAAGCATCCAGAGAATGTGGGATCCTGTTGCTTACGCACTCGGTTTCATAGACTGCGATAACATGAGTGCACGATGCATGCTTACCATATTTTCATTATTCGCTACCAAAACAGAAGCTTCGTTGTTGCGTATGCTCAAGGGCTCGCCTGATGTTTACTTGAGTGGTCCTATTAAACAATATATCACAGATAGAGGCGGCAGGTGTGTGCCTGTTATTATCTACAATAACTGATTCTTGCATTTATTATCTCATTAGCTGATCAGGTTTTTATAATCTTGCCTTCAAACAGAATCCATTTGCGGTGGGGTTGCAGGGAGATACTTTATGATAAATCAGCAGATGGAGAAACTTATGTCACTGGACTAGCAATATCTAAGGTTACATTTAGCTCTAGGCATAGGATGTTTAGAGGACTGAAATTTTGATGCTTTTGGGTAGAGAAAAAGCTTGAAACTTTGATATGAAAGTTGATGACTTTTTATTGTTTGTTTTTTAGGCTACGAACAAGAAGATTGTGAAAGCTGACGTGTATGTTGCTGCATGTGATGTGCCGGGAATCAAAAGGTTACTTCCAAAAGAATGGAGGGAAACTCGGTTTTTCAACGATATATATGAACTCGAAGGAGTACCTGTTGTTACTGTACAGCTCAGATACAATGGTTGGGTCACAGAGTTACAAGACATTGAACTTGCCAGGTTTGTTTTCTAGTATCATATGTTGTGAGATGATGATGATGGATTGATTATGTGTGGGTTTTAAGTCTTCGTTTTGTGTTGCTGAAAATTACAGGCAGTTGAAACGAGCTGTTGGTATAGATAACCTTCTCTACACTCCTGATGCTGATTTCTCGTGCTTTGCGGATCTTGCACTTGCTTCGCCTGCAGATTATTATATCGAAGGACAAGGCACTTTGCTTCAGTAAGAAAGAATAACCTTTTTTTGTTTGTCTACCACATAGCCTGCAGATCTCTCAGTGTCTTGAAACTGAACTCTGTTTCACAGGTGCGTTCTAACACCGGGAGATCCGTACATGCGAATGCCGAACGATAAGATCATAGAGAAAGTAGCGATGCAGGTAAAGAGCATGGTTGAATACTCCAAACTCTAGACATTTTTTGTCAAGTTGGTTTCTTGTAAATCTCAGATCTTTATTCAGGTCACTGAGTTGTTTCCATCGTCACGGAGCCTAGAAGTCACCTGGTCATCAGTTGTAAAAATAGCTCAGTCTCTGTACCGTGAAGCACCTGGAAAAGATCCATTCAGACCCGATCAGAAGACGCCCATAAAGAATTTCTTCCTTGCAGGTTCATACACAAAACAGGTAACTTTTACATTTAACAATTAATTGTTTGGCAGATCCACTATAGTCACAAATGCAAAGAAAGATCTGCCTCCAGAGTCTTCTGAGAAATCCGAAAAATCAATTAGAATTTTGCTGCTGGACTTGTTGCAGGATTACATAGATAGTATGGAAGGAGCGACATTATCAGGAAGACAAGCCTCGTCATACATCTGTGACGCCGGTGAAGAACTAGCAGAGCTAAACAAGAAGCTTTCGTCCTCTGCAACTGCAGTTGCTGATGAGCTAAGTTTTGTCTAATGATGGAAAATGTTGGAAACTAGTTCCCATGGCTAATTGATGAAGATTTGAGACACTGTGGGTACATGAAGAAGAAACATATGTAGAAGAAACCCTTCTTTATATAGTGTTCATAAGAGAAGCATTTGTGTTATGAAGACACAATCTTTTGAAATCAAACATTCTTACAAAGTACTTCAGAAGATTTATCCTCAAAGCTTACAAGTTACAACATTCGAAACAAAGAGAAAAGACAAGGTTACACATTGAAAAATAATAGAAGCAAAGATTCTTACTTACTTATCGATTCCTGAAAAGTAAACCAAACATTGCAGCATTGGAAAGTTTTACGCAATGAAGAATTCACATTGAAGCTTCTTCTTCGATGGTTTTCTTTGCAGTTTCGAGGTCTTCGTCAAGGAAAATATCCCAATGGCCATCCCAAGTGATAAAGAACTCAGTGTCTTCGTGATACTTGACTCGGTGAACGTCACCTGCCGGAGTGAATAGGTAATCGCCGTCAACAAGATCAACTCTCTCCTTCTTGCTTAGATTCCACACAGTCTTCTTCCCCTTGATGACTACAAGGTCATGGCCGAATGTGTGGTGATGCGCTGGTTCTACACTTGCCGCTTTGAACCTTACAATCGCCGACGTCGGCGTCTCCCTCATGATCTTCATCGAGCCTCCAGGCATGATGTCCACTGGAGTGAACTCTCTGTTCTTAGCCAAGCAACAAATCGCGCATGCCGCGGTTGTTTCATCAATCTTTTTGGTAGTTGAATTGCCGACGGTTGATATTCCGATATGAGCCATCTCAGAGAGAGAATTGTCGAGGAAGGAAGAGATCTATGAGCTCCATGGCTCGGATCCGGATGCAGGACAGGGGGACTTGAACGGAGTTTTGATCCAAGCGTCGAAGATTTCCACGGCAGTTTTTGTTGAGATCTTCATGCCGGATAATGCGAGGACGTTGCAATTTGCTGATCGACCTAGCGTTCACGGCGTCTTCGACTGAGAGACACGTGGCGGCATACACTCCCGGGAACTTGTTGGCGAACATCGCGACTCCGACGCCGGTACCGCAGCATACCAAGCCGCGAACTTCGGACGAAGATGAAGCGGACACGCGGCGGCCGACTTCAGATCCGGCGGAGTAGTAAGAAGAAACGCCGGTATCCTCCACGTGTATGCCGAGAGAACGGAGGTGGGATACCATCGCGTCCTTGAGGCTCGCTCCAAAGTCGTCAGCTCCGGCGATGATTTTCAACGGGAGAACGGTGGTGGAAGTAGTATCTCCGGCCATCTTTGCAGAACTTCGAAATCATAACCACTCTGAACCAGTGTCTGTCTAGAAGATTTTCAAGATTATCTTAGAACTGGAAATTCGAAAAATATTAAAAGAGAGAGACATAAGTTGTATTTGTCTTCTAACTGCACCCCTAAAGTTATTTAAATACAAAAACCCTCAAATTTCAAAAGCTATGGGTGAGGTACTTTAAATTAATAAATCAAAGTTTAGGGTACATTTGTTTTTGTTTTCTAAATTCTAAGGTACAAATTCTAAATCCACAAAGATAATTTGATTAGAAATATGAGGGGGTGTTAAAAGTTGCCGGCGACGACAATTGTACTCACTCGGCTAGGTGGAAATGGCGGGAGTAGCTTGGCAGATATCTATTAGCCCGTCATCGACCTTGAGGGTGAGTCATCTATGGCGATTTGTGAATCCTTAGCTTACTTTTGTTGTGTATCAATTGTTGGATTATCGGTTATGCAGAGAAGTGTTCATCATCGGTCACGATGCTTCTCTGGTTCGCCGGAGAAGAAAGCGCCGGCTGTTTTAAAGTGGGCAGTTGGTGGAGTCACTGAATTGCTCCGGCTGTTCTCAGTCACTTCGTCTTCGTCATCCATCCCTACAAATAAGGATAGGTAATCTCAGAAGCTTTCAATTAGGGTTCCTTACTCTCCTCTGTTCGTAATGGTCACTTCATGTTTGATCTGATGGCTACAGATCAAAGTATGAGACTATTGCTCGAGATGTTGACGATGTGATGGGGGTTTTGAGATCAGATTATGGAAATGCCTATTTCGTCACAGGTATATGACTATCTGTTGTTCTTCGTCACTTCAATCTGATTGGCTTTTCTTAAGGGTTTGTGAACTTTGAATTGAAATTGTTTCTGTGATTTGCATTGATTCAACATAGCACAAGCTGAGCTCATACACTAACTGTTTAACTCTAAGCTTTTGTTGACAATTTCTGAAACTGGAAACAGGTATCTTTACTTCTGAAATTTACTCGGATGATTGCATCTTCGAGGACCCGACTATCAGCTTCCAGGGTGAGGAATTACAGTACTTAAGGATAGGTCTATCTCAATGTGATCTTCATGCTCTCTGTTTTTTTTTTTTGTGAAGCTAGTAGATTGATGTGATCAGATCAGCTATCTGATCCTGAATCTTGATGTGGGAATAAAAGTAATCTCTTTTGGGGTTTTTTTCGTATTTGCAGGTACAGAGTTGTATGAACGCAACTTGAGATTACTGGTTCCGTTCCTCGAAGATGCATCCATAGAACTGCAACATATGGAGAAGGTATAACATTTGTTAGATCCTCCTAGTCCCAGATGGTTTATAGACTCAAAGTGTATTTGTTCCCATAATTACAGAGTGAGTTGTCTGAAAGAAACTATATACTAGCGACATGGAAGCTAAGGTATTCTGATGAACTGTACATACGTATACATTGAGAAAGTGTGAGACTTGTGCGCCATCTTAATGTGTATTTCTTGAACTATATTCAGGACTTACCTGAAACTTCCTTGGAGACCATTGATATCAATAAACGGGAAAACGGTCTATGATCTGGATAGAGACTTCAAAGTAAGAAGAGACTGAAACTTTCCCCTCTTTCAATCATAAGATTATTACCGTCTTTCTGTCATATGACTGATCGAGAGACTGTTTTTGTACAAGATCGTGAGGCATGTCGAGAGCTGGAATGTCTCTGCGCTTGAAGCAGTTGGGCAGATATTCACCGTTAACTCTTTTCCCTCCAGTGGTTGAGAGTAAAAGCACTAAGATTCATCAACTTGGCCATGGTCCATATAATAATGTCTACCAATTCTTAGTACATAGTACATAAACTGATATAATAAAATACCTAGTCAAAGTCTGTAAGACTTAAATTGTAATAGAGTGAATAGGAACGTACGATGTATGAAACAAAGAAAAAGGTATTGTCACACGTAAGTAAGGAATAAGCATGTCAAAACCCTCTGCGATTTTAAAAAGGATGATTAAGGCAGCCTTGGTCACATGATAGTGCAAGGTTGAGGGTTATCATCGCTTAAATAGGTGAAAAGAGAGTCGGATGCTGGAAAACCCAAGTTCTCGTAGTAATCAAAGGGATAAGGCGCAGGGGGCTTCCTCGTCATCACCTTAGGCTCCTCGTACTTCACCATCAACCTCGGTTTTGAAGCTGGTGCTAACCATCCCGGTGGTCCCATCCTTGGCGGCAAGGTAAAGAGAGGCATCTGCATCATCGTCGGTGGTCCCGCATACCCAAAACCTCTAAAATTTTCGCCTCCTGCTGGACAAGTTTCTAGTGTATTGGTGGTGGTAGTGGTGGTGGTGGTAGAGGCGGGTGCAGAGGTTGGTTCGTCGTGGCCCTTGTTGGTGGCGTAACGTTGAAGCAATGAACGGAATCGGGTCTTAGCCTTGGTTGGATCACTCTCGTAGGCGTAAAGTTGGGGAGTTTGACCTATTTTTCCGACGGTTTTGATAAGAAGTGAAGGCTGTGCTGTGCCAGAGACGAAAACAAGACCCTTCACAGGGTCTATGGTAATGGCGTAAACTCCTTCCACTTTTCGTAGAAGCTTCTTGATCCGAGAAGGTAAATCTTCACAACACTGGAGATTCATTTTTAATATACAAATCGGAAAGTCAAAATCCTCCATGATAATATATCGCTTTCAATACTTAGAAGTTAGAAGCAACCCACTAAAGTACGTCTTCTTTTATCTCGCTACTGAATGAAACGTAAAGAAAACCAGAAGACCAATTGATCGATTTTATCTCTCAATAATCTCTCTATCTTATTAGTCTGGAGTTATTGTGTCATGTCCGTGATTGTATTCATTACTAAGTCTTATGACAGATTTCATTTTTGATTCGATTGTGGGAGAAAATATATATTTTTTCTTATTGTAGGTATCATATGTAATCTAGTTTTCCCTTAAAGTCAACGATTGATTTCCATATTTTGGGAGAAATATATTTTCTGATATATTATTCGAGACTCCGATATCATATAGAAATGGTAAATTGACTTGCCAGATTTGCCAAATCAACTTTGGAAATAAATCATAATAGCAAATAAATGGTCAAAAGAATTTAATCCTTTTTTTTTTTTTGGTAACTCATGGTCAACCGGTTATTGTTAGAACCGACCGTACATTAGATCATGTGTGATAACTTGATAATATATAAGTCATTGTTGTGTTTCTCACTTCAATATTCAACATCAACAGTAAAAAAAATAATCTACGACAGAGAAAAAAACAACATACAAAAGAAAAAACAATGAAGAGATTTTTGGTCGCGTTTCTTCTTGTGCTCGTCTTCTTCTGTGCCGGTAAAATGAATCAATCCTTTCGTTATTATACACGTATAGTGGACAGAACTAGCTAGTGCATGTTTGATTGATGATGTTACTAACTTGCTAAGTTACGTACGTTGTTTTGTTTTGGATTAAAAATTGGAAATTAAAATAACAGAGATGAGAAAAGGGGATGGAGGGAAGATACCAGTAGTACCAGTGCCAACGGGGAAATGGTGTGGATACGCATTACCGATGAAACCATGCAACGACGACGTCTGCGCTAAACGGTGTATTGCGGATAACACGCATGGCTGGCTCATGGCTACCGGCATGTGCACTTCTATCCCTAGCTTAAAGGATTGTTACTGTGTCCATCAGTGTCCTTGATGTTTCTTTTTTCCACATCCATCATCCACCCCACGATGTTCTTTTTTTGTTCTTTTTCGTTTTGTTCCTAATCTAAAATATGAAATACTGTAAACATTCATTACCCGAGAATGACACATAGAACAAAAGAGAATTCGAATCACCCACAAAAAGAAAAAGCATGCAATTTTACACGGTACGGGCTCAAATTTGTACTGGGCTTACAAGGCCCAATTTATTCGGACAAACCAAACCGTCGTCCGAAGCCGAGCCGAACAAATAAAACGTAAATCGATCACGTTTTGGGTTTAATCTAGTTATTACATATTTACATACTTATGTGGCTTTATTTATAGTTTTGTAGCAATGGGTTGTTTTCTTTACCATTGAGTGACGACTCAGTGCTTGCTTTAATGCTTTCTCAGTTTATCATAAATATATAAATTCATGTAATTTAGAAAGATTATTAAATGACACTGAAATAGACAAATAGTATTAATTTTGAATTTTGATCCCAGGTGCTTGCTTCTAGATGTCCTATTAGTTATTTTATTCACTTGAGACTTGACCATTTTAGATTTGACATTTTTTTTTTTTATATATACCTGAAGTTTTTTCTTACGTTTTTTTTTGTTTTTTTATTGTTTGTATAGAGGGGAAAAACAACTCAAAATGGTAGAAGAACAAAGAAATCCAATAAACAAAATATCCGTAACCAATAAATAAACAAAGAAAAAAAAAAATACTCAATAGTAATAGTGTAGTATGATTATTACTATTAATCAGAATATTTGTTTCGGTAATAATGGAATTGATGTGTTATTATATCAATTCATATCGCGCGCCACCTATCGTACTAATTATGTCCTCCAAGCATATCCTATCAAATATCAATAATACTAATCACAGCACTAATTAGTTATATTATAATTTTGTCAGCTAATCTTTTACACTATTCAGACAGATGTAGTTGGATCCATCATTATTTAAGTGACAACGACGCAAATATTGTCAGTTTCTTAACAAACACACACACACAAAAAAAAGAGAAGAAATTAAAAAGCTAATTTTGTTTTAGTAGACTAGAAGTAGTAAATTAATTGAGGTTAGGTGTTGTGATTGCTTTTGGGATTTACCTTACTCGATATATTTTTCCGTACGGGCAACCACGGAATCACCAGGCAGCAAAAGTATAGTCAAACAATTCAATAATTATTATCTACTTGTAATTGTTAATTAGTGTATTTTTATACCTAACGAAATGAAAGAAGAAAATTTGATCATATAAAATCAAAAAAAAAGAAAAAAGGTTTATATATGATAAAAGTTAAAAATGGTGTGAGGAAAAGGCCAAATGGATAAGATTTGTGGTTGGTCTGATATATTCGTTATCACAACCAAGTCTTTTATATTTTTTGCTTTTCTAATTTCTTTTCTTCTCATTTAAAAGGCTATGAGGGCAACATTATTGGTGGGATATTAGAGGTTAAGATCCCCGGTTTTTGCAAAGGAAAGATCTTATATAAAATCTTTACTTTGCAAAAACTGGGGGATCTTATCCTCTAAAATCCCATTGATAATGTTGGTCTGGTGATCGTGCATGTCTTTGTATTCACCCACATGCACATGTGTGTTCTTCTTCTGAATATTAATTTGGCCCCATCATATCTTTTCATTTCACGAAAATTATCTATATTTTTTATACTGTCACCTTTTTGCTGTGTGTTCGTAATAATTCCTAGTTAGTTCAGAAATAGTATATATTTTTGTTTTAAAATCGAGTAAAGTCATATAGCACATGATTACTATTCACTTGTACTATATATATATGATTTGTAAAATGGCTGAACTGTCGAGTAAATTGAAATGATGTATGGTCAAGATAACACGTACGAGCAACTTAAAAACACGTGGCCAAACTAACCTTTGTTGCCTCCCATTGGAACATCCAGTCGACATGCTAATGTATGGTCTCGCTGTCGTCTCTAACCCATCTTTAGGTTTTTCATATTAATTTTGAGTGTTTCATATTTAATTTCCATGAGCTTTCCTCTCTAAGTATTGGTTTAACATAAGTTAGTTATTTGTAACCAGAAAAAAAAAAAAGAAGAAACTTTAGTTGGTTATATAGCATTGTTAGTTTTGATGGGAGAAGTGGACTAGTCGTTAAGAATGTACGTATAAGTTGCATGTTGCATAGCTTAGGTTACAGCGCTATTGTAATGGAGACTTTTTATATATTATTGAAGTAATGAATTTTAGTTTATTATATATGTATGTCTAACCATATATGTATAAGTTTTGGTCGAAGTTAATTTTTACGTACGCATGTATGTTAGTAATTTAAGAAACGTGGTAACAGTACGTGCGATGCGATGAACAAAAAATTATAATAAACTTATATTTCTCCTTTATACGGTGGTCTAGTTATTGTATTGTTGATCATACAATAGATTCATAATTGAGATTAGTCAAGAAAAACAATAACTAAATAATTTTTTAAAAAAATCATGTGAAATAAGTGAATATATACCTAAAATAAAAATACAGATGGAACATGAGTTTAATTTATTTATATATTCTCAATTAATTTTAAAATAAAAAAGGTACAAAACTCACCACAAAAAGCATGTCAGCAAAATTCGGTTTGATAAATCTAAGATATGGTCAAAATCGTAGTGCATTTAGGATACCATTCCCCACCAATGAACGTAACCATACATGATACAACAATGATGATGATGATGATGAATTTCAAAAATACTAAAATAACGATTAGTGTTGAAATGGTGACATTAACATATAACCATTTTGAAATGGTGACGTATAACCATTTTGCATATACAATTCGCAGACCGCACAAATGGAATAAACACGTTTTGGGAAAGAAGACGAGCATCCCCCAACACTACTCCGAGTCCGAGATACGTACATGAGCAACGTTCTCTTTTCTTTACATAGCTGAGACCATATCACATCCATAGATGCCAACCTTAGTTTTGTTTATTGTCGTTTTGATGAAATTCATTATTTTTGGTAGGTTAAAACTTTAAAACCTTTTTTTTTTGTATAGAAAATAATTCCGTCGGCTGATGGATTAATTACTGTGCTCTAACCAAAATACAAGGTAAAGCAACAGTACCAAATTTTGTTCTCTCACAGTGTCACATGTGAATGATTATTTAAAATTAGTTAAATCATACATTTTCAAGTATTCCCATACCAAGCAATCAATGTATCATTTAACAATTCTATTATTAAATATTCCACCGAACAATAGTACTAGTTAATTCCACAGATTAATTTCCAATAAACCAATCTAATTCTTTTGTATTTTTATGTTAATCAGCTTAGTTCAAAAAATGTTTCATAAAGTAGTAACCATAATTCCTAATATTAATTTAACAATTACACACACAAAAGAACAAGAAAAAACACTATTTAGTTACCGTATAAAAGTATATATAATCCGTAGATATTTTTAAGAGTTATATAAAAGAATTGGCTAAAAATAAAAAATAAAGAGTTGATATTTCTTTAATCATTTTTTTTTTAACACTCCTTTTGGACCACCGTTCCCTCAAGAAACGCACACCGTCTTTGTCTTCTCTCACGAGGTGCTTGTACTCCTCCCCCTCCTGTAATAATAATAACCAACCCTCCCAAAAAAAAAAAAAAGAAGTTCCATTGAACTATTGAAGAAAAAGCTTTGGCTTCTCTGTCTTCTAACTTTCTAAGCTCAAAGCCTCAAATCCTCATCCTTCTCTCGTATCGCTCTCTCTGTAGAGTATTTAATATAATGTAATAATGAGCGTAAATACATATACTCTTCTTTATCTTACATGAAGTGAGAGTTTTCATATCTTTCTGTTCAACTCCTTTTGTCAGGAGAAACTTAAAGATGATTATGAAGAAATTGCTATAAGAAGAAACCTAAACCCACCCATTTATTAAAAAAAGAGAGAAGTTCTTTTTATTTGGTAGATCCATTATATATTTATTCTTATTTTCCTATTGAGATTTCTTTTTTTTGGTTCCTACTAATTGAGAGAGAGAAAGAGAGAGAGAGATAATGAACTATCTGAGTTATCTTGAACCAGATTACTCTGAGTTTGTTGAAGTTGATCCTACTGGAAGATATGGAAGAGTAAGGTTTTCCTATCCAATCAATCTTCTCTTGATCAAATCTCCAATTTATTTTGTGTTTGATCTTTTTATTGACTTCATTCTTGTGTTTGCAGTACAATGAAGTTCTGGGTAAAGGAGCTTCAAAGACTGTGTAAGAATCAAATCTCTCACTACTTCTCTTCTTTTCAACTAATGTTTTCTCTCCAAATTTTCAACCTTGGATCCGGTGATGATTCAACTCTAATATGTTGTTATTTCTTCATAAAGTTTGAGACTTTTTGTCTCCCCAATCAAAACCCATTTGTGATCCATCATAAGAAAATCTAGGATTTTTCCTTTCAATTTTGTGAGATTTTTTTGTGTGTGTGGGTGTTTGATGATTCATGATTGAATCTTAATGAGTCCTTTAAAAGAGGGAAAGAAAAAGGTTGAGCTTTTTTTTTGTTTTCTGCCTACTTGAATCACTTCTGGTTTGGTTAATTCATTTCCCCACAACAGAAATTTCCTACAACAACGACTTTGCTTTTTTTTGGATCTCTTTATTGCTTTGACTTCAACCCAATTCAGATTCTGCAAAACGAATACCTTCTTTGGCCATTCACAAACATCAAACCTTTTCTTTGTTTTGATTTGTTTGTAGTTACAGAGCATTTGATGAATATGAAGGGATAGAAGTAGCATGGAACCAAGTGAAGCTTTACGATTTCCTACAGAGCCCTGAGGATCTTGAGAGGCTTTACTGTGAGATTCATCTCCTCAAGACTCTCAAACACAAGAACATTATGAAATTCTACACCTCCTGGGTGGATACCGCCAATCGAAACATCAATTTTGTTACTGAATTGTTCACTTCTGGCACCTTGAGACAGTAAGATTCTCTTCCAAAGAAACTGTGTTCTCTTTGCTATTAGTTTATACATTGGCTCTTACATGATTATGGATGGATTTCAGGTATAGACTCAGGCATAAGAGAGTTAACATAAGAGCAATGAAGCATTGGTGTAGACAGATCTTGAGAGGCTTGCATTACCTTCACAGCCATGATCCTCCTGTGATCCACAGGGATCTCAAATGTGACAACATATTTGTTAATGGGAATCAAGGAGAGGTCAAGATTGGAGATCTTGGCCTCGCTGCCATTTTAAGAAAGTCCCATGCTGCTCACTGCGTTGGTATATATGCAAATCCAGATCAAATCCAGTATGCTTTTCTGCTGAGTTTCTTTGTTTCTGATTGTGGAAAGTTTAACCTTTTGTTAGGGACTCCTGAGTTCATGGCACCTGAAGTTTACGAAGAAGCGTATAACGAATTGGTTGATATATACTCCTTCGGTATGTGCATTTTGGAGATGGTTACGTTTGATTACCCTTACAGCGAATGTACTCACCCTGCTCAGATCTACAAGAAAGTTATGTCGGTGAGACTCTCCGATTACTAAACACACAAAGATAAAAAAGCTTCATCTCTTTCTGTTTTGAATGGTTGTGATTTTTGAGCTAAAATTTCGGTTTCAGGGCAAGAAACCGGATGCATTATACAAGGTGAAAGACCCGGAAGTTAAATGTTTTATCGAGAAATGCTTGGCCACCGTATCGCTGAGAGTCTCTGCTCGCGAGTTACTGGATGACCCTTTTCTTCGAATAGACGATGGTGAATTTGATCTGAGATCAGTTGATATGGATGATTCGGCCGGGCCACTTGTTAGGCAGCCGCATCATCTTCCTGACTACTACAATTATCCATCAAATAGTAGCTCTTTGAATCGTCAGTACTCAAATGGTTATAATAGCCCCAACGAGTATCAGAACGGATGGGCGTATAATCCAGCTGAGACAGAAGAAACTCATGGAATCGAGCTCTTTGAGTGTCGTAACGATGATGATCAAGAAGAAGACAAGAGATCTGGTAATGTTGATATAACCATCAAAGGGAAGAGAAGAGATGATGGTGGCTTATTCTTGCGTCTTAGGATTGCCGACAAAGAAGGTAATATATTTTCCTTACTATATTACACTTGTCCTTTCTTTGTTTCATAACCTATGAACAAGAGTGTGAAAAAATGTGATTTTCGAAGTTCCAAAGTCTATAAATCGAGGGATCTCAGTTAAAGTATTAAAGATCAGATCTTATTGGTCCTAGAGTATAAACTTTGGTTAAAGCGTACAAAAGATTGGATCTTTTAAGTTTCCCTGTGAGAGTTCCTCGGTTTCTGGTCATAAAGGACTCTAACATTCTTAATTTGTCGATGGAACATTTGTTGCAGGACGTGTCCGAAACATTTACTTCCCATTTGACATCGAGACAGACACGGCACTGAGCGTTGCAACTGAGATGGTAGCGGAACTAGATATGGATGATCACGGAGTCACAAAAATCGCCAATATGATTGACGGTGAGATATCTTCTCTTGTGCCCAGTTGGAGACCGGGCCCTGAATTCGAAGAATGTCTTGCGGCAGCAGCAGCAGCAGCAAACGCGAACATTTGCAACAACTGTGTATCGAACCGCACCTCAATGGGCTCGGTGATGGATTTCTTGAGGACCAATCCTGGTGCGAATGTGATACAGTGTTGCAGGAATGGGTGCGGTGAGACTCATGGGCGGTTTGAAGAGATCACGATCAGAGAAACCGAGGTGCGTCTTAGAGAGCTCTGGAAGCTGCAGCAACAGCAGGAAAGCCGTGAGCTAAGCTCAATAGATTCAGGCCAAAACCACTCTGAAGAAGAAGAGGAAGAAGAGGTATACGAAAACCCCGAAAACGTGTATTCATGCGAGGCAGGTAACGCAATAAACCACATATCGGGTTCTGGATCGTTCTCGTTCATACCATCTAAATACTGCGATGAGGTATACGAGAAAACCGAAAGTCAGGTCCAACAAGAGTTGAGATGGCTTAAAGCCAAATGCCAAATTGAACTCAGAGATATTCAAGATGAGCAGTTAAAAACCCGGTGGCCAGAACCCGGAGAAGAGGCAGAGATCTCTCCGAAAGACTTGTTTGTGGGTTCGGTTTCAGGGTTGGAAGGAGATAAGGTGAAGGAAAAGATGTATGGAGGAAGACTGGTACCAAAGTGTCTAAAAAGGGCAACTTCACTTCCTGTTGATCCCATTGATTCTTGATTACTTTGTGTTTCTTCATGTATACATATATTGTTTGCTATTATTATAAGTCTTTTACAGTGTAACCGTAACAACAACAACAACACACAAAGTATACATACTTAAGAGATCCACTTCAAATTCTTTTGGGGTTATTTAATACCCTTCGATCTAGTCGAGAATCTACAGTGGTATATGAAAACTTCAAGATGTAATAAGATAATTAATTTACTTGTACATCTGTTTTTTTTTTTTTTTCGTCCAAGGTGCCATTAAATGGTTGTGGGAGATACGAATTGATGAGCTACAAACAATAATGAAAGCAAATTATTGAGCTATGACAAGTAGGCAAATCAGTTCTGGTAAATACAGTATATAACTCTAAGACAGTAAAATTACTCTGCAAAAAGCACATTAACAACTTCAAACAAATAAATAAATAAATAAAAACCAAGAAATCAAATAATTTCATGTCTACAATTTTCTTAATAAATTTTTGGATAATGTAAAATGAAATTAAAGGAGAACAAAAAAAAGGCAGAAGAGTCAATAATAAATAAGTGTAAACCCCACAAGTAGCACAACGCCATGTTCCATTGCCGACCGATCCACTAGAAATTTGGGTTCATCCACATGCACATGCATTTGTATTCATTTCACTTATTTTTTTCCTCAATTTTTGAAAATTTATTTTGTATATATATAACATGGTTGGTTTGTCGTTACTGTATGAATGATTATTATAGAAATTGGTTGGACCTTTTCAATCAGACTTTTAATGTTTTTTTTTTGTCAATACCTACACTAGAATTTGATTCTCCATATTAAAAACTAGATAATATTTTCTCAAGCTTTATGACAAAACATTATCAACCCATTTTTGTATATACAACAATCAGTCACAAAAATGGAAAATTAAAAAATATCACTAGCTAGCAATATCAAAAAAAAAAAATTACAGTCACGTGTGACTTTGCTGCAGTAATTGTTGTATATATATATATATATATATTCTTCTATAAATAAACTCCAAAGCTCTCAGATCCAGATATATATTTAGGAGATCTAGTCATTTAGATGGGTTAAATGATCAATTGTACGGTGAACACTGACACTGTACGTGGTTGTGTTTGGCCCAGCTTGTGGATATTATTTAAGTATCTGGGTAAATAAAATACGCGGTTTCAGGCTTTCAGGTTTCGTATGACTTCCCATACATATATAGTCACAGAAGAACAACCAACAACAAACCAATTTTTTTCAGATAAAGCTGATGAGATAACACTTACTACGATAAAGATATCAAATTAGCAATATCTTTCTTTGTAGTTTTATTTATATATATATATATATATATATATATATAAACCCAACAGTTAGGAAAAAACGAAAAAAGGTAAACTAGTGAATCCAATGTGAATATTTATAATAATGGTTTAAAGAATTGAAAATGATGTGCAATTAAGTTAAAAACTCGAAAATAATTTATGTTATACGCGTCAAGAAAATTCAATGGAACTAAAACGAATATAAAAGGTAATGTGATGAAATGGTAGGTAGGGACATACATATATATGAAGAATTTGACGACAAATAAGTAATAATTTAGATGTCTTAAAAGCAAAATCCTCTTTTTTTTTTTTTTTTTTGGTTTTATATAAAAATGGTCGTAAACTGTACTGAAGTGAAGATATGCATGTGGGCAATTGAATGTACAGATGAAAGGGTACGTACTCTTTTCGTACCCAACTTACTATACGATCCACACCACTTCAGTGCCAACCATTCTTCTCGTATCTTCCTCCATTCATTTTCTTGTCGGTCCTTCATCTTTTTTTTTCTTTCTATTTCCCTCTTTTAATTAAATTAAGGTTCCATTATTATTTATTTATTTTTTTTTATAATGCAAGAGCTAGGAGGGTCATCACCCAGTCCACCAACAACAAATAATGAAGTATATGTGGTGTTTTTTCTTTTAGTTAGTTTGTCCTCATATGTTATATATTGTTGATCTTAAGTTTTTATGTGAAATCGTGTACAACCTTTAAATGATCTTCTGCCGTGGAATCCAACTATCCAGCTCATTTGGACACACTCGTCTCTCTGTATGTGTGTGTGTGTGTGTGTGTGTGGCTAGCAAATCAACAAATTGATTTGTTATATAGTTTCTTCTGATCTTATCTATCCCAAAACTTTTTCAAAATCTGTCTTTGCAATTATTCGAAAGTCAAGTAATTAATTAACACCGTTGACAAACACCAAAATGATATAATTTCGTTGTACTTTTAGAACAAACAAAGTAACAAATCTATATCGTTAAGATAAATGAGTCTATTAGCCAAATTTACATTTTCTTTTGCAGTTTTTATGTAACGGAACCCAATTAAACATAAGTTTACATCCCGAATTCTCTAACTCAAAACAGCAAAAACCTTAAATATTGAACTCAATCAAACATAACATCAGTTTGTACTGTTGTACACAGTTATATAGTTAAAATTTATAACAAGCCCACAGTGGCGAATAAAATATATCAGGCTGACAAAGAAAATGGTACAGGCTATAAAATTATAGGCCCACTGGGCTCCAGTTTACTTGCTACCTGTAAATGTTTATCAACTAAGCCTGAAAACTCGGAAAGGATATATTTAATAAGCCCAATTAACAAGTTAGGCCCATAAAATGAGAACACAAAAAGAAACCCTAAGAACCTCGCGACTATATAAAAAGCTCCGATTTGCTCTGCGCGTCTCTTTCTTTTACCCGAGCGGACGAACACTGAAAGCTTTGCTGAGATCTTCTCACTTGATCCTTTGAGAAATCGCAACAATGTCGGAAAAGGCCGTCACCATCCGAACCAGGAAGTTCATGACCAACAGGCTTCTCGCCAGGAAGCAGTTCGTGAGTTCCATTTTTATTTAACTCTTTGTTCTATTTCTCTCTGAGCATCACTTCCGTTCTTATGCGTTTGGTTTTTACCGGTGGCCACATACAATTCGATCCGAAGGGAATTGTTTGTTTCTTCATGATGTTTAGAATTTATTGGGTTTGACGTTTTAGGTCAGGTTTTCAGATTTCTAACCTAACCTAGCATAGGAAGCCTTGTAACTCATGTGGTTTATGTTCATTTTGCATAATCACATAGTTCCATTATAGATTCTGGATGAATTAACTAAGAATATTGTGGATTTGTGGATGTAGGTTATTGATGTTCTCCACCCCGGAAGAGCCAATGTTTCTAAGGTGTGCTCTTTTATCTCATTTTTCTTATTACTTACATCTATTTTGAATTCTATCTATTAGATTAGATATAGGCTGTGAGAGGTTCTAACTGGCTATACTTTGGTTTTAATTTTACATAAAGGCTGAGCTGAAGGAGAAGCTAGCAAGGATGTACGAGGTCAAGGACCCAAATGCTATCTTTGTTTTCAAATTCAGAACCCACTTTGGAGGTGGTAAATCATCCGGCTTTGGTTTGATCTATGACACTGTTGAGAGTGCCAAGAAATTCGAACCCAAATACAGACTTATCAGGGTAAATGGTCTTGCACTCTTTGTTTTCATAGTATAGTATTAAAAAATATGTTTCTCTTGCTATTCTATTGATTACTATCAGTACCCTGATCATTTGAGTTTGTCTGAGGATATGTTTTGTGCTTTATCGTATTACACTTGTGTTTTCTTGATTATTATACTAAAAATGCTTGCTTGTGTAATTGGCAGAATGGACTTGACACCAAGATTGAGAAATCAAGGAAACAAATTAAGGAAAGGAAGAACAGGTCTAAGAAAATCCGTGGTGTCAAGAAGGTAAGCCTTGCTAGTTTTTAACTGTTTACTCACTCGCAATCCTCCGTATTTTTTTTATTTTGTCTGAAGCCTTAAGAATCATTTTGTTCAATGTCTGCAGACAAAGGCCGGTGATCCCAAGAAGAAGTGAGATCATCAAGACAGGATCTTTATCTTGTGGGTTCTGCACAATCACCATTTTATGTTATTTTGTCTGCTGTTAGATGGTTTCTCCAACTAGACATTTTCACTGAAATCTCAGATTTTCGTTTATTCTGTTGCCGTCTTTGTTTTTGAGTTTAGTGAAACATATGATCTAAGGTTTTGTTCAATACATCTATTTAAACCTTTCTCGGCTGTGAGGGCTTTTTTGCTTGCCTAGTAATCTTCTAACTTGATCAAAATCAAGAAGATAAATATTCAATGGACAAAAATTGTATCTACTTATCATTTGCTGAACACGAAGAGTAGAAAAAGATTTGTGCATCACTTCATTGGGTTCGTTTAAGTCTACATTGTATTTAGCTGGCTTATGTAATAATATTTGTCCATCTGGACAAAAAATCAATTGTTACTTCTTTGGCGTCTTCTTCCCTGAAGCGGATAGCGTTAGCAAAAACGCTCTACGTCAGAACCGCGTTTGGGAAACGCTTACAGTTTGAGTGTTGTGTGGGTGAGGAGTTTTGGTTGGGACCGAGAGAGACGTCACGGCTCAACCAATCCGCAAATAAGGAAGCGCGTGCGTGAAAGGAGTGGGTGACCACTTTGCTTCGTCTTAAACGTTAGGTTGCGGAAATACCAAAAGTAGCCCTGGTTGGGTCGAAGAATCTCATGCCCCTACCACCCAATCACAAGCGTACCAATCCTCGTGAACACACACACCCACCCACCTCCTCTTCATCTCGGTCTCCATCTGGATCTAGGCACTTGGTCCTTACCTCATCGGAGCTGAACCACTCAGATCTGTTTTCCCTCGAATTGTCCCGGTGGAGATGACATCGGATCACCGCGACGCTGTTTTCTCTCTTGAGTCCCCCGATCTGGAGGAAGGAGGTGTAGGAGAATCTGATACTGATGAGGATCTGCGTGATAACGACGACGTGGTTTTGCCGGAATCGAACGATGTAGAAGCTGAAGCCGAAGCCGAAGCCGAAGACGACGATCCTGAAGAGGAGGATCTGAATTCTCCGTCTACGTCATCACTCGCCATGGTTTCTACGATCTCGACTACTGCGGTTGTTTCCGGGACCCCTACGACGGCTTCATCTACAGGCGCCGTGACGGTTGCTCTTCCGGCTGGATCGGCCGTACCTGTCTCCGTAATTCCCGTTGATTCCGATCCGAAATGGCACCGTATGACGGAGATCGTCCATCAGAGACCCCCGATCGATGATTCTAGACGCCTTTTCCAGAGGCTGTGGACTGATGAAGACGAGATCGAGCTTCTCCGTGGTTTCCTCGATTACATGACGACGCACAGAGGCAGCAGCTCGCATCCGCCTGACACGGCGCCGTTCTACGAGCAGATAAAGTCGAAACTTCAGCTTGATTTCAACAAGAACCAGCTGGTTGAGAAGCTTCGGCGGTTGAAGAAGAAGTACAGGAATGTGATGAGCAAGATCAGCTCTGGTAAAGAGGTATTCTTCAAGAGCCCTCATGATCAGTCTACTTTCGAGATTTCTAGGAAAATTTGGAACCAAACCGGGAAAATCATTGGGTTTGAAGACAACAACGTCATGGATTTTGAAGAAACCAATAACCACCATAACACCAACGGTAACTACTCCACCTTTAACAGCCCTGTTTCTAATCCGGAGCTCGATTCTGAAAACGGAATCGAGAAGAAATTGACCATGAGTAGTAGTAGCGGATCCAGGAAACGATCGCGATCGAGAATTGGGAAGATTGAGGAAGACAACAAACCCACCCTCGCTCCTTGTGATGGGCATATACCAAATGCAGCTAGCAATGTTAACCTCAACGAAACAGCAGCTGCCATTAGTATTGGAGGAAATCTCGGGGGTTTGATCGAAGAGACTGTGAAAAACTGTGTCTCTCCTGTGATCAAGGAGTTGATGAATGGGACGACAAGTATGATGATGGCTGCAATGGGAGGAGGGTTTCCGGGTAGTGGTGGTGGTGCTCACGGCTTTGGCTCGTTAAGCCCCCTGTTTACAAGGCCGCTGAATTTTGGTTTTGGTGTAGAAGGGGGAGGAAACAAGGCAGTGGCGGAGGAGCGGTGGAGGAAACAACAGATCCTTGAGCTGGAAGTGTATTCAAGGAGATTAGAGTTGGTTCAGGAGCAGATTAGAACGACTTTGAACGAGTTAAAGACGATGCCGAGTGGTGTATGATGACGAAGAAGAGCAAGAAGAATAAGACAACAAAATAACCACTGGGTTGATGTTTGATATATCTGAGTTAACCTTCTGGTGTGTGGGTGAGTATAGTACGAGATTTGAATCTTTTTGTTTTTTTTCAAGTTATAAATTGTTAAGGTATTATTGTGATCTTTCTCTAGGTTTTTTTTCATCAGTCTTTTAATTATTTGTCAATAGGGATGAATCATAGGGGAGAGGGGGTTTGTGTATAACCTTTGTATTAGATTATAGTTTTTCTTTTTTCTCGTAGAATCATTTGTTCAATAACAAACAGACTTCTAAATCTATTTTTCTTTCCAAAGAAAAAGTAATAATTTTAAAATTTGCGTACTACTCTTTGTCTAAATTATTATTTTTTTCTTTTTTTGTAATTACATTTTTATTTTGGTTTATTTATTGATCGGATACAGTTTGTTTCAGTGTCATACCAAGAAGTTGATTTCTTTTGCATCGAAAAATCAATATCAAGATTTTTAGAGAAGGCAGAAACTTCTCCACGTGAGAGGCGAATTGTTAGGTATGGTTTGTCATGAAATTAAAAACTACATAAATGACTCAACCACAAAAAAAAAAAAAAAAATTATAAATGTTAATATTTACTTACACGAGTGGGTATGGGTGGTGTTATGGTGATGGTGTCGTTGCGTTATTTATATGCACTCAATAAATTCTTATCTCTGTCGAAGGAATAGTTCTTTTGAATCTCTCCCTTGCTTCTTCTTCGACTGAATCTCGTAGCGGTAACCTCTTTTAAGTTTCCGGCTTTGTAATCTTTTTGAACTGTTCTTTTGTCTCTTCTCCAATATTTTCATAATTAAATAATTTCGCCTCTTCATGTTCAATTTCAGCTCTCAAGAACACGAGGTCACGAGCAATAACACACTCCCTGGAAAACTCACTAAATTCAGCATCATATCGCCGTCAAAACTCGAAGTTAGTTTGGTACACATGTTATCTTCTGTTCAAATTTTTTTGTTCTCTCCGTCTTGGTTTCACAATGTCTTGTTCACTCTTCCGTTTATGAATATTTATAAAGATGACAAATTGTCTTGCTCGTCAAATTGTAATAGAGCCTATTTAGTAGAAACTAGGGACATTGCGTGCAGATAGTGTCTTTAATCCTTTTACTTTCTTTTGATCCAAAACTGAGAACATTTATTTTGGTGGAATTTCAGAGATGGAGGAGGACTGGTGTTCGATCAAGGATGATGCAACTCAAGTAAATCATTACTTTTTTTGCTTTCTCTTTAATCAATTAAATATCTCATTGGCCTAAATAAGTTTTCTCCTTGGTGTATGTTTTTATTGTGTGACAGTTGATTGGTAACACCCCAATGGTATATCTAAACAACATTGTAGATGGTTGCGTTGCCCGTATCGCAGCTAAGCTAGAGATGATGCAGCCTTGTTCTAGTGTTAAGGAGCGGTATTTATACAAGAACCATTCTCTCTTGTTTGCTCCATGCAATCTTTGTTCTTTTGTGTCTTTTTCTGATAAAAACATTTTGGTTCTTTTCAATGTTCTTCCGCTTACCAGAATTGCTTATGGTATGATTAAAGATGCAGAAGACAAGGGATTGATTACTCCCGGGAAGGTAGAGCAAAACATATCATACATCTGTTTTCCTTTTTCGTCATTAGAATGAATATGAAACTTAAGTCCCTGGTGGTTTTTACTCAGAGCACACTGATTGAGGCTACCTCTGGTAACACCGGGATCGGCTTAGCCTTTATCGGGGCAGCTAAAGGTTACAAAGTGGTGCTCACAATGCCTGCGACCATGAGCCTTGAAAGAAAGATCATTCTTTTAGCATTAGGTGCAGAGGTGCACCTTACAGATCCGAGTAAAGGCGTTCAAGGAATAATGGACAAAGCTGAAGAGATATTAAGCATAACTCCAGATGGTATCATGCTTGAACAATTCAAAAACCCTTCAAACCCGCAAGTATGGACTCTCCTTTCACATTATATGTTGCTTTCCATCTCTCTTTTTATTTATCAATCTAAATCGGTTCTTCTGCAGACTCATTATCAAACCACGGGTCCGGAGATTTGGAGAGACTCTGCAGGGGAAGTAGATATATTGGTTGCTGGTGTTGGGACTGGTGGAACGCTTTCCGGATCAGGAAGATTCCTCAAGGAGAAGAGTAAAGACTTCAAGGTAGATTACTTATATTTAAGTCCAACCATATCATGAGAAACACATTAGTTACAGATTTGTACTTACAAGCACTTCACTTATCATCAACAGGTTTACGGGGTGGAACCTTCAGAAAGTCCAGTAATCAGTGGAGGCAAACCGGGTGAGTTCGTTTATCTCTTGATTGCATCGAAGCTTTTAAATCTTGATCTTGAGTATAATAACATTAAAAGACCTAAGTAAACATTACTTCGTGGACTTTCTTGTTGCTAAATCTCTCTATTGATCTCACCTACCATAAAACTCGGATAGTACTGGTTCTCGGTTTCTTCTAGGTACACATTTGATCCAAGGTATTGGTGCTGGAGTCATCCCAGACAATTTGGATTTGAACGTTCTTGATGAAGTCATTCAGGTAATGTAGCTGAGGTCTTTATCGGTTTTGTCTTAATAAACGGGATGAAATGTCAGAGAAATCAAACAGAGATGTTGGAATTCTTATTTATAGGTGACAAGCGTGGAGGCAATTGAAACAGCCAAACTACTTGCCCTGAAAGAAGGATTACTGGTAGAATCTCCGGTTTAACAACTTTTGTGTTGGTTGAAGCCACCAGAAGAACATTAAAAAAAGAAGTTTATTTGTCTGGGCAGGTGGGAATATCTTCCGGAGCAGCTGCAGCAGCAGCGATAAAGGTGGCAAAGCGGCCAGAAAACGCTGGGAAACTCATAGTTGTAAGTAGAGTCATACATAACTTGCAACTCTAATTACTGTTTTATGTTTTAAAAGAAGATGTATCGGTTCCTATTCGCTTTTCAGGTGATTTTCCCCAGCGGCGGGGAACGTTACTTATCGACTTCACTGTTTGAATCGGTCAGACGTGAAGCAGAGAATTTGCCAATTCATTAAGATGCTACCTTTCGGTTTGTTTCGATGTTTTTTTTTCACAAACCATATTAACTAACACTAGACAATTTGGGTTGAGGATTGTGGAAGAGGAAGAAGATCAGAGGACAAGAGACTATAAGCGAACACATGATGGATTTTACCTTTGAGACAAGTGTAACTCCTGAGCAGACCTTCTCTTTGAAAACCAATCTTCTCAACAACTCTTTGGGATGCTTTGTTTTGAGTTTGAACAAAAGCTTGAAGCCTCAAAACATGAGGCATGTCATTGAACACTTGTGATACTGCAACTGACACTGCCCTAGTGCCCTTGTTGTTATTCCCTTTCCCCAATACTCGTGACACAATCCATACCCAATATGCGCTTTGAATCTTGAAAATAAAATTATACAAAACATTTACATACTTTTACAATCTCGATCGTCGCCGGACCATCTCAGGAAGTCATGACCGTCCTTTAGTTCGAACAGCCTGATGGCTGATGGTGACTCTTGAGAGATCAATCTCCATGTTTTTTTATACAAAAATTTTGGTTGGTGGAACTTTTGACTCTGAAAGACTATTATACTTCGGTTATTACCATATTTATTTGGTTCATTGTTTTATTACAGGATGCCGTGTTTTACATGCAATTTTTATTGTAAAACACATTAAATTAAGTAGCAGTCATATATTCGGTTTATATATATATATATATCCTGATTTCCGGTTCTTAATTAAAGACTTGGTTAACAATTTGTGTAGGTTTAGTTGAGTCTTTCTGATTTGTTTGTCGATTTGTTAGTGTTTTTTTCTTTCTAATTTTGAAAAAAGTAAAATACGTCTTTTTTTTTTCCTTTTTTTTTTTTTTTCTGTCGACCAGTAAAAACGTCTAACATTAAAATAAATTTAATCTCCCATCAGTAAAACGCTGCGTTTTGGATTCAGGGTTTTTGGATTCCGACACGGTGAAGAACAACGAGATCCTCCATTCTTACTTCATCTTCTACACCTGAGAAAGAAACCCTAATTGTTCAGAAAATATAGTTTCCAAAAAATGTGGTCTTCAAGAACTCTCAAGTATATTATCAGGTTAAGGCCTGAACCAATTTCTTCTTTATCCTCTTCTGCGCATTTGCTCTCTCGAGGTCCTTTACTTCCGTCGCAGCACCGATCAATTACCTCCACGGCGCCGCTTCATGGATGGATGGACTCTATCAAAGGTGTTTTCACCGGAAATAAGGACACTCCTGTGGAAGAATCAAATCTACCCGTTGAAGCTTTCACTCTTCTCCGTAAGTCTTACGTGGGATGCCTCTGTGTGTGTGATTGAGAAATGGGAATTGTAATGGTGGATGTAATGTAATTACTCATCAAAGGTTTCATCTTTGGTTAAATTTAGGATTTGCTGATGAGTTGAAGAATGCTAGAAGGTTAGGAAAATTTAAGCAGTACATTGTGGGTAGAAGCAGCGAGGCCACATTTGCAGAGGCGTTTGAGAAACAAGAAGCTGTTATTCGGTATCTCGGAGCTCTTGATGTTACAGGAGAGGTTGGTTTCTTTCTTAGCATACTACTTGAGTCTATTTCTCCGTTTCCATCTTATTCACATGACTTAGCTAATAGTTTGCTGAATCAGTGAGAATAAGAAGATATCTGTTGGTATGTCTTGACTGTAGCATTAGGTTTCTTGATGTGTAGAATCTCAAAGCCAGTCAGAAACAAGATGCTGCTAAACATTGCAAGTGCACAATAACGGACGTCGAGAATACGCTGGCCAAGTTTACTTGGGCCAGGCAAGCTCACAAGAAGATGGCAGAGTTGAAAGAAGGAGGCAAACCGTTACCAAAGAATATGGGAGAGGTATGCTTCTTAGCTCAATAAGCTCCTTTCTATTGGGCAATTTGCATGACTGTGGTCACGTTTCTCATTTCTTAGACGTAGAAATATACTTAGAGCTTGTGAGATTGTGCATTGACACTCTCCTCTTCGGGTTGGTCATCCTCAAAACCTTAAGTTTCTACACCTAACTGATTCCCGGCTCAAGAACAGACCTCTATTATAACAGGAACTGGTTTGTAACTTGGTTAATTTGCATTGTTGGTTAGATTGATGTTAAGTGTTTAGAAACAGTCATCTTGCACTATGTTGGTATTGTTAAGATTTTCGTTTACATATAGACAGATTGCTGTTACCTGCTGGTACTGCATCTAATAAGCTAGTTATGATGACACTAAATTGTTGTATTGGTCTATTGAAGCTGCAAAAAATGATGGGGTCAACACCGCTGGATCTGGCGAGATCAAACTTAGCGAAAAGTGGGCAGATCAGCCGCAATGCTCTGTGTCCCTGCGGTTCCAAAAAGAGATATAAAAGGTAAACAACTTTAAGGAGCTTTCACTTTCCGCCAAATACACAAAACTGTGCTAATCAAATCAAAACCTCTATGTAATTTCATCATCTTGCTTTTCCTTTTACTGATTTGTTTCTATTATTTTCTTCTTCATTGAAGATGTTGCGGAAAGGATTGAAGAACACAGAATTTGATCGAAAACATCCAAAGATCGAGCTGGATGATCATTGTTGGAGCTCATTTTTCGTTAAGCAACAAATCTACAAGCTTTCTTTTGACTCTTTCTTGGATTCATCTGCTGTTTATGTTCTGTCAGAGAGAAAAAGAAGAATTTTGGTTTCTTTGTAAGGTTAGTCAATAATGAAATCCTCTGAATTCTTTCATAATTTTAAAAATTCTTTCAGAACTTAAGTTACCTGTAAAGTTTAAACCTAACAAGTGAGGAGTAATAAGTTATGTTCTAAAAATGTCATTCAAAGAATTTGGCCATCAAACTTTGGAGTCTTTTTTTGTTTATTTTAATGTTCACTCAGAATAAATCCAACTCAATCTCTAGCAAAAAGAGAGTTGATCCAAAAACCGAATGAATTCTAATTTGATAACAATTTTTGTTAGATATCCAAAATTGGCAAAAAAACCAAAGTTTTAGTGCAATTTTTTTCTTTTGTCTTTTGCACTTTTTGTACATCATAGTTAATAATAGACTCCACGGTCAAACTTCAGAAGCAATCTAAATACATGATTCAACGGCCATGATATTTTTGATTTAATCTAACGGTCAAAAACTAAAATCAAGTTTTTTGGTGTTTTGAGTCACGAAATAAGAATGCTGAACTAGAGCGTGGTTCTTTCTCCCTCCCAAATCAGGTAAGAATTGTCTCTTTCTCTCTTCTTCTCTCCTTTCTTTACAAAAACAGAAACGAAAGCTTTCCTCAAAACCAAATCTCAAACAGAAAAATCAAACCCTTTTTTTTTTTTTTTTTTTTCTGTGGTCCATTATCACCTTAAAAAGAATAAAGCTTTGTGCTTTGCGTAAGAAGTAAGCTTTCCATCCATGGAACCTACAGACTCTTCACCACCACGAGATACGTCGGAGCAGAACCCAATGCCTTCACCAAACGGAAAAACTGAGACTTGGTTCGTTTCTTCTAACTCTCTGTAACTGATGATTGTTGATTTCTCGGTTTCGTAGTCGTAGAGGAACATTCCCTCATTGTTTTTGATCGATTGTTTATTTTTGTCCTTCGTTTTGTGGGAGTAAATCTAGGGTTAAAGATTTCAAAAGGATTGCTATAGATCTGGATTTAGGAGAACGTTTGAGCAGTAAGATTCGTGAGACCGCTTCATCCATTTTTGACTTTTCACTTCAATGGGAGGAATATGATAAGGAGATGGAGTTAAAGGATAAACTATTTATGGAGCGGTTTGTGGAGCTGAAGAAGAAGGAAGAGCGAGTGAAGCTGGTTGAAGAGAGAGAGAGGAAGGTTGAGCTGACTGAGGCTTCGATCTCTCAGCGGCTAAGTGCCTTGGAGGAGAAAGAAAATGAGTGTGATATGAAACAGTTTCTGGGAGAAAATGTGATGAGAGCGATTCAAGAGGAACATGGAGAGCTAATGAGAGGGTTTCACGCAAGGGAGAATGAGCTTAGGTTGCTTGATGAAACCATCAGGGAGAAATCGAAGGATCTGGAGAAGAAAGAAGTGGACTTTCAACTGAAACAACACGCTGAAACCAGAGAGATCGAACACAGGAGAGAGTTTCTTGAGTTAAAGGAGAAGCAACTTGAAGAAAGGGAAAAATTGCTGGAATTGAAACAGAGACAAGTAGATGAACGATCAACAAATGCTGAGACTTGTAAGAGATCTTGGGTTGAATCTGTGTCAACAAAGGAGGGTAGAGATTCTGAGTCTCTGATTCCCCCTGGCAAAAAACAGAAATCCATTACAGAACTCTACCATGCTGGTGAAGAGAAGAATGCGCTACATATAAAGATAAGTTCTTCTCTTGCATCTGCAACTGACTCTGAGCATACAAGTGAAGCAAAGAGAAGAGAGGCTTATGGAATTGCCTGCATAGATGAACCTGATGAGGATCCTGAGCCATTCACTTGTCCTGATCCAGACTTTAACGATTTTAACAACAAGATAAGCTCTTTCGCCTTGCGTCAAATATGGGCTCTGTATGATCCTATAGATGATATGCCTCGATACTATGCTCAGATCAGGGGGATTACTTATAAACCTGATCTGAGTTTACGGGTGAAATGGCTCGAGTCAGTGCAAACCACAGAAAATGAGGTGCCAATTCCCATTGCTTGTGGGAGATTCATATATGGGAAAACTGAGAAAAAAAGCCAGTTCATGTTTTCTCATAAGATGAATCCCATCACACGTGGCCAACATGTCACTATAAACCCGAGAAAAGGCGAGACATGGGCTCTTTTCACAGATTGGACCGAGACTTGGAACTGTCACAGGGAGCAGCACAAGCCTCCTTACAAATACGAATTTGTGGAAGTCCTGTCTGAATTTGACAGTGATCATGGCATTGGAGTGGCTTATCTAGGGAGAGTGGAGGGGTTCACATCAGTCTATAAACATGCTTCTCGACATGGATTTGTCAAAGTCATGATACAAGCCGATGAAATGCTTAGATTTTCTCATAGAGTTCCATCGATTGAAATGACTGGACATGAGAAAGAAGGAGTCCCAGCTGGATCTTTTGAGCTAGACCCTGCTGCTATTCCCCAAGCTTATCTTAAAGCTGCTAAGGTTGAAGAAGAAAAGATTAGGGTATAGTTTTGGTTTGAGTTAAGTGCAAGTCTGATATGGGTTCACTCTTCTTTATTATATAAATAAATATATGTATGTATGCAGAAAATGCATGGAACTGGATCTGTGTATTCCTTGGAACCGGTATTTATCTCTTACTGAGTCTCTCTATCAGGTAGTGTCATGACTGTTTTCACAGTTTCATTGATAATTTATCAGATTCTTAAGCAGCTTTGATCCTTATTGCAAATTACAAGATCATATCATATAAATGTAAAAGGGAAGGAAGGCAACTGCATTGGAGAGTTGTTGCGTATAATTAGTTGTGCGGTTATGGGATGTTGATGAAGGACTTGAGAGCCATTTCGTAGGCCGGACTCTGGAACTGACATAGTTTCAATAAATTTGAAGAAGAATAAGAACACACATCATGATGACTTGTCTCTTAACATTTTTATTTTGTTATTTGGTTGCATGGTTTAATTGTGAGATTTGAGATATAAAGGGATAATATAACATTAATCTAAGTGCTCGCCTGTGAAATTAACATAAGATTTCAGATAAACTACACAATTACGTGAATATTTGGAGTTTGATTTGTGGTCATATCCACAACCAAATCTTGGAATCATCAAAGAGTGTAAAGTTTTAATCTTTAGTAAGCTATGGCAAACCAATTTTGAGTCTCTATATTTTTGAAAAAGAAAGTCACTTATGTGTGAAATTGTTGTTATTAAAAGTTTTGTTGGGTTGTTAAGTTTGCTTATATTATTATCCTTTTTCATCAAAACAAAAACTCGATTAGTACACTTGAATTGTTATTGTATCCAATAAATATAAACATATATTCTTCCTAACTCCATATTTTTTTTTATAGCTTTGTTAATCCGTTTCCTAAATTTGCAAATCAAGCCCCTAATTCTGAAGCTAAATATATATAGAGTGGGCCAAATATTTTTCCAGGAGGCAGAGAATCTGAGAAAGCAAAGTAATTGGGTTTTAACACAAGGGAGAGAAGAAAACAAACAAGTGAAACTTTCCACGATCGGAGAGACGAGAATGGCGGTACAGTGGCTTCTGGTGTGTCATGGGATGGTGACGCTAACGGTGGTCATCTCCTTCCTCTGTGGTCAATGGCCCATCTTCAAAGGCACACCTTTTCAGTGGATTCATTACTTCATCACTTTCGGCGCCTACGATTACTTCCTGTACTTCTTCTTCTTCGCACTTGATTAGTTCTTCCATGGTTAGCCGTTTGATCTGTGCACAATTAGGGTTCCTCTGATTATGCTCTGTGGTTGGGTTGCAGGAGATTTGTGGGATTGGTGTTCGGTTCCAAGGGAACGGACGTGATTATGTCTGTGGAGTATTTCTGTTGCGAGCGTCCTAATCCTGTTCTGCAGGTGAGTTTGATCTTCCTTTTGTTTGGTATGGTGTAGACTCTTTATCGGCACTGTGATCAGTTACCACACTCTAAGCTCTACATCGTTCTTATTCTTAGTTTTGGTTTCTAGAGTTAGTGATCGGACTAATTGGGGATTAGGAGATTCGATTTAATGACTGATACCTCATGATATGAAGATCTTGAGTGGTTCTTTTTCATGATTTTGAGATATGGGAGGATATATTTTTCATTAGAGGTATCTTAAGTGCTTACTTGTGAGATTTGCACATGATTCTGTGAATTACTTTGTTTGGTGGTGACTATATTGTGTTTGATCTACTGTTTTATAATCTTCTGTAATATCAGATTCACAAAAAGCATTTTTCTACTCCGATTTGTAGGTGATTTATGTAGCCATTATGGGATCAACTTACTTCTTAACTGCAAAATCTTCATTCATCTATATACCTGGATATTATATTGGCGATGTTCACAAGTAAGGACTGCACTTCTTCTTTTACCTTTATGATGTCAAGTCCTGAATTTATATGCGTAATCCCATTTTATATCCTTAACCTTAAGACCATGTATTTGATTTTTGTAGGTACGCGAGCTTTCTGGCTGTTATAATTGGTGTCATACTTTTCTTGTTGACAAGCTTTTCTGATCCAGGTACTGTGAACGCTGAGAATGTTTCACGGTACATTTCTGCTTACCCCTATGATGATATCATTTACTCGGAGAAAGATTGTTCTACGTGTAAAATCCCAAAGTAAGTGCACTAAAATCCTGTAGTTAACCTATTAAAGAGCATAGTTGTTTTTATGTTAAAACTTTTACATTTATTTTCCTCATTTAGGCCTGCTAGATCCAAGCATTGCAGCATCTGCAACCGCTGTGTGGCTCGGTTTGACCATCATTGTGGGTGGATGGTTTGTACTTAGCCCCTGAGCTCTGAGCTCTGTTTCTTCTTTTGCATCTCATACCAATATATTGTTTGACCTAAACATTTTCCTATTTGTTTCAGAATAATTGTATAGGCGAAAGGAATACCAAATATTTCATGGCTTTCCTCTTTTGGTGAGCGTTCATTCTTGAATATTTTGCATTATACTTGGAAGAATCCCATTCAGTCTTGTGTCCTCATCATTTCTTTTGATTCATGTTAAATGGTTCTTTAGTGCTTTGTAGGCATTTCCTTCTTTGCTTGTACGGAACAATAGCCATTGGGTTTATTCTCGCTGGGCGAGTAAAAGAACTTCGTGTTGTACATATTTTAACCGGTATACATCAAACACGCCCTTGTTGTATTAACGATCATATCTTCTTAAATTGGTTTCAATCTTGTTATACCTTTCGATTCCTAATCTAGTCTTTCTTTCTCTTTTCTGCAGTCTATTACGGCGTAGATAAATCTTTCCGTAGCTTAGCTCCTCGAGTTTTACAGGTGAGTAAACCTAACTAACAAATTCCCGGTCTCACAATTCGCATGTGTGTTAATACTGTATCATATCAAAATATCCTATTTATTTGAAACAGTGGCTAGTTGGTACATACAACACCCAGATTCTCCTAATGGTGTTTCTCGCCATTGTTTCTCTCCTCCTTGCTGGCTTCTTCGCTTACCACGCAAAACTCTGCTTAACCAACACAACAACTAATGAGGTTTTAACTTTTTCCGCCTCTGCAAATTAAATCATATCAGATCTGTCTCGTCCACTAAATAAATGTTTTTTTTGGGGTTGTATGCTTTCTGATAGACATTTAAGTGGAGAGAATATCTAGTCTTGAAGAAGAAGTTCAGTGAAGCAAAGGCGAGCGCTGCTGCTCTCAAGGCAGGAATGTCATGTGAACAGAAGAAGCCATTAACAAAAGGAAAATGCTTTGGGCTCTGTGGGAGATCCTCTGCTCATGAGGAAGCAGAGGCCAAAACCGAAGCTATAGCGAAACTGAATTTGTATGACAGAGGAAGTTTCCAAAACGTTTCTGAGATTGTTTTCCCTTTATCGTCAAGACCATCTTCTTCCAGCAAATCAAAACTGAAACCGGAATAGTAATAGGAGACTTTGTATACTACATTAAAGCTTTTGGTAGCTTTTTTTTTTCCCTTTTTAGCTTTTGGTTAGTGACTGGTTTTGGTTATTTGGTCTTCAATGCAATTTTAATTTTTTTACATGTTACCCTTACATTTAATCATTCATATATACATGATTTGAGACTCAAATTGTAAAAGGCTAATCAATCTGGTTGGGGAAATTCAACAAGCTACTCAGCTTTAGCAAATATTTTTCGTCATGAGTTGGCATAGAAAGATTAAGATTGTGTATGCTAGTATGTACCAAGATTTCATGTTCAATGTTGCAGACTTGCTTCTATTAAAACAGAAAAAAAAATTAAATTGTGTATTTCCAACCGTAGCTGCTAAAAGCTGGAGTATGAATTTTATACGTATGTCTGTAAAAGCTGCGTTTAGAGACCATTTTGCGATAAACTGAAAACTAAACTTTATAATTCACCGCTGCACAGAAAAAACAACATAAAAAGAGTCTGCAAATCCATAAGCCATCGTCAAAGACAATATTTTGATCATTTTCTCGACAATCACCAAACTTAAAAGCTACCATTAGATTCTACTTGACATTATCCATATCTACACAATCTCTGAAGATAGAAATCGGATGCATACTTGGAACTGTGCTCAGTCAAAGACTATGGTGCGACTTGGAATTGCTATCGGGTCAAGTTCCCAGCATCCTCCTTCAACTAGCCTTGTTCTGACTGCCGGAATCTGATGAGAAAATCTACTCATTTCTGCCTTTGGAATGACTACAACATCCGCATTCAACCCTTCTTTCCTCTGAATTTTGTATAGAGAACTAGTGCCTTCAGCAATCAAAGCCACAACCTTTACGATCTCCCCATCACAGTTATCTTCCACCACTTCTACAATGTCATGTTCTTCGGTGCTATCACAGTTCTTATATAGAGCCCATATCTCACCTTTCCTTGGGTATACTTTGATTATGAACCTGTTACTACTGTCGAAGGGTTTGACCTGATGTGAGAAGCTGGCACGAGGAAAGATTTTGGGTCTTCCCTTTTTCAACTTGAATTCCCCACAATACACAGGGCGGGTTACGGGAACTATAGATGGCGAATACAGCTCCGTCGGTGTTCCACGTAACACAAACTTAGGCTTGGTTTCAATTGTCTTGATCTTCACATACTCTGAGGGCATTCCCTTGTCATTGCTATAAATAGCCCATATCTGATTAATTCGGAATTTGTCTTCAGATCTCAGGTTCTTGAAGTCATAGACATTTCTTCGAGGTGTTTTGCAATTTGCCGACACAGGAGTTGCATTAGAGAACTCGTAAGTGGAAAAGAACACCTGAGTTGGCAAATCATTCAGCTTGGACAGAGACGGAATTTCACCATTGGGTCTTTGTTTCTTTGAGCTCTCTCCTTCTGGACTCTCTGCTGGTTTGTGAATGCCATTGGGAGATTTTCTGACTCCCAAAGAATTTGTCACAAGACACTTATCAGTTTTCTTTGGGGTCTTCATCTTGTTGCCTCGTTTTGCAATTTCCTTGTTATCTCCTTGTTGGTTTGGCATTGTCTGAAGACGAGGAGATTTTCGAAGTTTGAAAACATCTGTGGCCTCACCATTCTTTGTGGACTTGTTTGGTGTGTTCTTTTGATCAACTCCCAAACCCTTATCAGTTTTCTTTGGGCTATTCATTTTGTTGCCTTGTCTATCACTTTTCTTCTCATCTTCTTGTTGGGTTGGAATTTTTTGATGACGAGAAGATTTTCGAAGTTTGAGGACATCTGTGGCCTCACCATTCTTTTTGGACTTGTTTGGTGTGTTCTTTTCATCAACTCCCAAAGAATCTGTCACAAGACCCTTATCAGGTTTCTTTTGGTTATTCATACTGTTGCCTTGTTTATCACTTTTCTCCTTATCTCCTTGTTGGCTTCGAATTGTTTGAAGACGAGGAGATTTCCGAAGTTTGAAGACATCTGTGACCTCACAACTCTTTCTGGACATGTTTGGTGTGTTGATTTCATCAACTCCACAGGAAGAAAAATCATAGCTTCTGTTCATTCTGCGTATGACTTCCTCAAGATTACTGCATATGCCTTTATCATAATCAGATTTTCGACGTTTCCTTGGGGATGGTGCAGTCTCTGGAAGTGACTTGACCTTCGCTCCAACCTTGGGAGCGTCGGGATAAAGGCCGTCAGCTTTAACTTTCAGGATCTTACTATCCATCTCCATATCAACTGCATCAGCCTGAAGTATATATTTTGGTAATGCAGCCGGATCCAGTTCATATGATTTAGCTGGAACACACTCTTTCTCTTTTCCGGTCCTTACGACTGCTGGTACTTTGTGAGAAAATCTAAGCATATCTTTCGGTGTAAATTGAATTTGGCAAACTCCATCCTTTGCCTCCCAGTGAAATAGGGGAACAGAACCTTTTAGTTTACCCAGATAGGCCACTCCAACACCGTTAACATTGTGAAAATCACTAAGAATTTCCACAAAGTCATACTTGTATGGTAATTTATGCTTTTCTAGACTACTGTTCCATTCCTCATTCCATTCTCTGAACATAGCCCATATATCTCCTTTCCTCGGATAGATGGAAACAATCTCGTTGCAACACAAGTGATGCATTTGACCTGAAAAGATTGAGCGGTTCTCAACTTCCCCTGTTTTCCAATTTTTGAACTTACCGCAAGCAACTGGAATACTATCATCATTCTTATCACATACAGGCTCAAGGTAGGTAATTTGCAGCTTGAACTCGGCATTCAACACTTTCTCTACCCGAACGTATTTCCTAGGCATACCATCTCTAGAATCAGTTGTAGACCACACTTGATTGACAGCAAACTTTTCTGTATTCCGTTCAACACCAAACACATCGATCTCCGGATCAGGTATATCAAGTGTATTAGGATTTTCATTAGCTTTGTATCCATTTTCTACTCTATCAATCTTGCTCAACAAGGCTGCATCTTCTCCATTACCATCACAGCCTTCACTAACTTTGTTTTTGGATGACAAGGTGTCTTCATTTCCCGAATTTGCGTTTTTCTTGGTTTTTCTTTTATTAGCATGTGAAGAAGCAGAAGAAACCCCAGAATCAGCCTGTTCAGTTGACTTCTTATCCTTAGCAGTTTGCTTCATATTAAACTCAGACTCAAATTCACAACCTGAATTTCTCTTTTTATTTGGATGATCACCACTGTTTCCTCCCTTTGCGTAAAAATCCTGTGACTTTTTCCTCGACGACTTCCTCTTATTATTTTCATTCGTATCTGTTTTACCCCCAGCAGCATCAGAGCTATCCACCTCAAAACTCTTAGAGGATTCCTCAACCGCTGTTCTCCTCCTTTTGGCTGCTTTATTCTTCTTTGGAGCTGATAAATCAGGTATTGAATTTGTTGCAGTAGTATCTGGTTCTTTTACTTCATGTTGCGGCTTCAATACATCAGCTTTAGGTATTTCAGCAGAATTTCTCATACCTGTCTCACCATTCTGGGATCTTCTTCCTTCAGTGTCATTCTCGGTACAACTCTCATCTTTCTTGAGTTCTCTGTCATCAGCACCTTTTTTCTGATTTTCTTGATTTTTCTTGTTGAGTTTCTCTCCAACTGTCCCATTCTTATCCATCTCAGCTGCTGAACTTCTTGATTCTGCTCCAGTAGAAACATTCTGCCGAGATGTATTGTACATCCCTTGATACCGAAATTCTTTTTTACGAGCAGTTGAACTACCAGGTGGCACTCCATCAAACGTCATGCTGTGAGCAACATAAGATTTCCGGCAACTGGAACAATGCATAACTGTGTTCATATATTCTCTCAAGTATTTATACCAACGGCCACAGTGCCTGCAACGCGTCCAGAATGTGTAAACACTTACAGTATTCTCAGCAGCATTGTTTGTCGCTGCACAGTGGCGACCCAAGTTTGCGTTTGCATGCTTGTTAGCTAAAATTGAATGGGATCTGTATCTGACGTCATAGTTAGAACGTGTAATCCGATCAGAAAGCAATCTGTTTGCTTCCCCAACCAACTTAAAAGCAGCCTCTGAACCAGGAAACTTGTTTTTGTCTGGATGGAGAAGCAGCACGAGCCTTCTGTATTGCTTCTTGATTGTGTCGGCATCAGCAAACGGCTGAACCTGAAGGATACCATACCAATTGTCAAGCCCTTTGATTTTATTAATTGCAGAAGAATGGACATCACATATGGTTTTCATCTGCAGTAAGTGTTCGAGACTGGGGAAGAGTCTTTGAGCCTTGGTAACAAATTTATGAGCTTCAACAAAATCACCAGCCTCCATCTTTTCCTCTGCTATTTTTTTCGCCTTTGTAGCATCTTCTCTATTGCATTCCATTGCAACAATAAACCTCCTAAATAAAATCTTCCCAGTCAGGTAAGTCTATGAAACACAGCGCAGTCAGGGAACCAATAACTCATAGTCCCTGCAATACACACAAAAAAAAACAAAAAGCAGTGCACTCACATTGTTATAAAACTATCAGTTCATAGCCCTAAGCAGTGTAAGTAAAACTTTACTTAGTGCTTACCAGTTGAGAGACAAGAACTGTGAGATATGTGAACAATGCACACATCCTTCGTCACATAAATAAATTCAATAGGCTTAAAGAGTCTGGACTTGGAGGATATTAACTCTTCTGTGTTCAATTGATAATCCTGCAAACCCCAAAACCATGAAAAACTACAGTAATCGAAATCAAATGTAACACTGAAATCTTAACATGGAAATGCAATTAATAGAATGGCTCAGAACTAATTACTAGTAGAAACGAAATCGTACGGACGATTCGTCTTCCTGGAAATACAAAATAAAGGGAGAAACGCAGGAAATCAAACTCTTATGATCCAAACACGAACTCGCCGGAGACAGCAGATACATCTTTATCAAATCGAAAGCAGTGATCAAATGTGAATGCATGCGCAAGTTCCGATCAAAACGAGGCAAGCAACGGGAAACAATTCGAAGAAGGGAGAAGAAACTAAACCTGAGAGAAATGAATAACGGAGAAAATCCCAGGAGCTCGCAGTGCAGAAGGGGAAGAAACGAAATCGAATTTCACGAATCGATTAGAGAACAAATTTAAGAACCCTAACTTTGAATAGAATCAGAGAGCATAATCGAGGAAAAAGAAAGAAGAAGAGGGAAGTGAAATACTCTTAGGAGGGAAAATTATTTTATTTTTCTTCTAAAAAATATTTATCTGGGTAATTGAAAAAGCTTTACACATAGCAGCTACAGCTAGCTACTGTAGTATACACTTAAGAAAATGACAAATTATCCCGTTTGTGCCACCAAGCTTTTTCTTACGCACATGCGAAGTTTTAGTTAATTTTCCTTTTTTAATTCCTGATTTATATTCCTGATTTTATATACTGAGAAACTTTACATTTTTGAATTAAAAATCCTGATGTACTTACAATTGTCCAATTATACTGTATGTGAGAGAGCATATGGTATCGACATGATGACGCAGATAGGAGGATAACGTTATATTTGGGTTGAAACAATCAAAGGTTCGAAAACCACAGAGAAGAACCGAAATAAAGAGTCAACAACACTCTCTATTTGTTACTTACTAGTTGTTGGCCCTAATTAAGAGACCAGTCCTATCACTAGGGTTACTCTCATACTTGCTAATTTCTAGAGTTAATCCAAAATAGAAGCTCACTTAATTAGTAATCTCTCTCCTTTTCTAGTGTAAGCTTCTCTTCAGTTTCCTCAAGAGTCTTTCAGCGTTTCTTTCCTCTGGTATGTGAACAACACTGGGGGATGCTTTGGCTCATCGTACCTGGACTTAACATCAGATACCGATGGCATACCAACATTGACTGGCGCCGATGTTAAACCTGAAACGTCCAATTTACCAATCATATTACATTGTCTATATTTTTTTTATCATAATGAACAAAAGTACCAAGAGAAGAAAGTTTACCAAGATTGTCCTCCTCTACACCAGTGTGCTTCACAATCACGGTTTTTGTCTTCAGCTCGACTTCCACATGAGCGCTGTTCAAAGAACCCGCTTGATCTTTCCTTGGACTTAATTCGGTTGTACAATCATTATCGGCCAATTTCTTAAGCTGAATGAGTTTCTTTTCCCATGATTTGACTTGACTCTTGACCAAATCAAGTTCTTTCCCTTTCTCTTCAATGTCTTTCTCCTTCAACTCTACTTCCCTCGACCTCTTCTCAAGCAGTTTTCCAGATTCTTCGATCTGGTTAACAATCAGCTTCAACTCTTTCTTCTTTCTTTCTGTTTCTGCTTCCATTTCTCTCTTACGCTCTTGAACACTACGAGCCTCATTACAACGCCTCTTTAGCTCAGCCATAACCTGTCCCAATTGTTTATTCTTTGACTCAAGCTCACTGTGAATCCTGACCAATGACTCCAGCTTTACAGTCAGTTCATTCCTCTTTAACCTCAGTTCTTGTGTACACTCTTCCGCTAATTTCTTCAAATCACCAGCGTTGGACTTTTCTGCCTCAAAAGTTTGACTCTTTTTCTCAAGCTCTGAGCTCAAAATTTGCAGCTCCTTCTCCTTAATGTCTAGCTCCTGGGACCTCTTCTCAACGTTGGCTTCAACCATGCCAAAATGGTTGAGTAAACCTTTCAATTGACGGACGCATATTATTACTCCCGAAGCATCGTCTTTGAGTTTCTCCATAGATTTTCGGATATTCTGTCTTCTCCCCAAACCAGCAATCCCCAAGTCATCTTCAACCATAGTTTCCCTCCTGCAAACCAATCAATGTCAGAACAAAACAAAACAGACAATATTGAAACACAACTCAAAACGAAAAAAATATAGCAGGAATCAGAACTCCTAGTGTCCGAGATACAGCATACAACATTGTAAACATAATCCACCACAGAGACCTTAAAAGAAAGCACCTTTTGTTCAAGTTCCGAAAAAGACTAAGAAAAACACAAAGGTGAACAAAAAGACCCTAGAGTAGGCTAAGAAATTACCTTACTGTAGCAGGAAAATGAAGAGCTAGACAAGTTTGAAAAAGAAGAAGAAGATTAATGGAGAGAAAAGGGAAACTTCTTGGTGGTTCCGTACAACACAAGCGTTCGACTGAGCCTAGGGTTTTGCTATTTATCGTCTTTCCCTCTGCTCTGCCATTGATTCTACCTGAGATTGTTGTTGCCGGCTCGCCTGAGACTGAGATTCCCCATGTGAAAGCCTACTTAACGGGCTTCTTCTGAAGAGTGAGGTACTCATTGGGCTTTTCTTCTTTATAAAGTCTAAAGTCCAACACGTCTTTTTCCGACATGTCATAACATTCATGTACTTATCATAAAATATCAAAACACTAGTATACAAGTATTTTAGAATTTTGACTATACAGTAGTAACAGAAGTTATAATTTTGGTGACAGAATCATGATTGTCATTTAAATCTGTTTGAAATCACGTAAACCAATGGTGAAGCTGATTTAATAAGGTTATCCTAGTGTAGTACTCAGTAGTAGTGTTTCTTGATTAGAGTGGCAAGCACTAATCACTTCTCTATCAAGCTATCATAATTCATAAACATCGCAAATAACATTTAGATAAAACCTTTACTAAACAAAAAGCTAATATTTTAATTTGGTCCATAGAACAAGCTTGAACAACTCTCGGTGCACAAGTCAATCCTTTAGCTGGATTTAAGCAGTACCTACGATGGAAACAAAATGGTTCTCTGTGCAGTGCAGATTAAACCAGAGAAACTTAGCCTTAAGACCTAACATTACCATCAGCACGAGCTATACACGCTTGCTTTTCGGTTATTACTTAGCCTTAAGACATATAGAAACATTAGGATCTTAGTTCATCTAGGGTTTAACCTCAGGTTTAGGCACCTGAAGATTCACACTTGGTAGTTTGAGCAGAAGCCGGATTAGGAGAATTAGCTTGTGGATTTGATGAGGACGTGCCATGCTCCAGACAGCAACGAAGTTGAGGGACTGAGTTTTCTCTTTGAATCATGAGCTTGGCGATGAGGTCTCCTGGGAGATTGATTTCAAGCTTATAATCTGCCACAAGTTCTAGTATAGCTCTTAATCTTCCAGCATCTTTTTCTTTAGCCTAAAGGAAGAACCAAAACATATATAGTCTCATTATCTCTAAATAAGTAAGTAATTAAACAATTACAAAGATCAGGGAAGTCAACAAAAGAGTTAAACCTGGGAGGATTTAGTTGGTCTATTGTCCAGGGCAGACCATCTTAGATTGATGATCTCTTTCCTTAGGAGATCTGAGGGTATGAACTCTCCATTAAGCTTAAACAGACATATAAGCCGGACTGCAGGAATATATTGGTTTTTCTTGATGAGCTCCTTAACAAACTCTGCAAAAGATAAAGAGTTTATTTCAGTTCATAGTTTATACGCCTTATATGTATCGGAAAATGCATAGAAAAATGTTTCTGAAGATCTGATGGCTACAAAACTAACTTCGGATTTCAGTGTTGAGACTAAGACACTTGAAGAGTCTTGGAGCCTGTTCATAATGAGCAATAGACGAAGCAAGTAAAGCAGCTTCTTCGTCATTGATCAATTTCCTTAATCCATATACCACAATGAACAGAAGAAAGGCGAGGGCCTCGAGAGATGATTTTGGAGCATCCATAGATATCTTCCCTTTCCAAAAAGTTGCCACTTGTGTGGCTTTTTCCTGCAGTTGAGGATCATCTGATCGTTGAATTTTTGTGAGCTCCTCAAATAAAAGAACCAAAATCTCAAGCAATGTGTCTTGTAAACCCAAATCTACATTATGAAGCTCCTGCACTTCTCCCAGAACAAATTCTGCAGGATTAGGTAAAGCTCTAAGAAGACTGGAAACTTCATTGCGCGAAAGAGAAGCTGGGAAGTCATGATGCACGAGAGCATCTTCATTAACCGTTTCAGTTTCTGCTGCAGTTGGCTGCTTCTCCTGCTTAACAAGAACAGTGCTCATATCTCTCAGCCGTTTCTTCTTCACATCAAGTTCTCTTTGAATTTCCCCAAGTTCTTTAGATTTCATGTCAAGCTGCTCGGCTGAGATCGTTATCAGATTGTTTAATGCTTGGACCCTCTTTTCATTGACCTCAATGTCAAACTTGCAGTGGTTGCTCGATTCTGCAACACATTCCAACTCCATGTCTTTAACAACAAGCTCTTCAGATTGTCCCTGGATTAACTGACAGATAGATTCACGCTGATTACGCAAGAGAACAAGCTCATTGGTTCGTTGCTCAATCAGTTTTATGATTTCCTTCAATTCTTCAGATCTCGAGTCAACTGCTTTACGACAAACTGATATCTTGTTGTTTAATGAATATATCCTCCTTCCTTTAAGCTTAATGTCAGAAAGGGAAACCTTGATGGATTTTCTCACATATCCCAACTTCTTCTTCGCAGAAAATAACTCCAATGACCGAATCTTAAGCAGCTTCTGTCGTGACTCTAGTTGCGCATCTACCGTTGCAAGCTGTTTACCAGATTCTTCAATCTTGTCAAGAATCAGTGTCAAATCTCTGTTCTTCCTATCTGTCTCCTCTTCTATTTCTCTTGTAAGCTGAATGAGTTTCTTCTCCTCTGACTCTATCTGATTTTTAAGCAGATTTAGTTCCTTTTCTTTACCTTTGACCTCTTGCCTAAACCTTTCAGCCCTTACATTCAAATCAGTTGCTTCGGCCTCTGCTGCTTTAATCTCTATTGACCTTACTTCCATTTCAGAGTTGCTTCTGCAAATAGTCTCCAAAATTTCCTCGTGTTTCTTCTCCTTAGCAAGAAGCTCTTCAGATAGTACTTGGATTAACTTCTTGATAGTATCATGCTGATTCTGCAAGACACCAAGTTCATTGATCTGCTGCTCAATCAGCTTTTGGTTTTCATCCAATTCTTGGGATTTCCTGTCGATCGTTTTACTACAATCCTTTATCAAACTGTTTAGTGACTGTATCTTATTTTCTTTCAGCTGAAGGTCACAATTGGAAAGTTTGATGGATTCCTTCAAACATCCCAAAAGTTTCTCAGTAGAAACTAGCTCCATTGACCGAGTGACAAGCCGTCTCTGTTGCGACTCTAGTTGCTCATCTGCTGTCGCAAGCTGTTTGTTAGATTCTTCAATCTTGTCAAGAATCAGAGACAAATCTTCCGTCTTACTAGCTGTTTCTTCTTTCACTACCCTATTACGTTCTTCCACCTTGAGGGCCTCATTGCAAAGCCTCACACGCTCAGACTTGACCTGTTCCAGCTGTTCACTCCTTAACTCAAGCTCTCTCTGAATCCTTGCCGATGAGTTCAGTTTCTCACTCAGTTGATTCCTCTTTGACCTTAGTTCTTCAGAGTACTCTTCCACCAACTTCTTCAAATCACCAGCTTTAGACTTTTCTGCCTCAAAAGTTTGAGTCTTTTTTTCAAGTTCTAAGCTCAGAGTTTGCAGCTGCTTCTCCTTGAACTCTAGTTCTCGAGACCTCTTGTTAATATTGGCTTCAGCAGTGTCAAAATGCTTACGTAAACCCTTCAATTGACGAGAGTAGGCTATAATTTCAGACGCATCAACCTTGAGTTTTTCCACTGTTTTGCGGAGATTCTGTCTCTTTGACTCGGTGAGTTCTTCATAACGAGTCTTCTCCATAGCAGAGAGAGCAAAACAAGAACGGCCAACAGCGAACAACCTCCACACAACCACCCCGTCGAAAAGATGAAGACTTTCTGAAATTTCAGTCTTCAAAATCTGCAAACCTGATAGGAAAAGGAAAAAGAAGAACAAAAGGAGATGAGATTTATAGCAAGAAAAAAACCAGGAAATCAAATGAATGGAAAATGCAGGAAAGGAGAGAATCTTAGATCTAAGCAAAAGAAATCTCCAGAAAATGTGCACATTGTTGCCAAATCGACCACACAGATAAAAAGATGAAAGCTTTTTTTAGTAGTTCCGAGAGGACGAACAGAGGAAACCCAAAGCTAAGATGGAGAAAAACCCTACCCTAAGTAACGAAAAATCCTTGCGTATAATACAAAACGACAAGCTCATACTGAAGTCAGATAACTAAAAACAGCAAGTTACCCATGAAACGATCAGAACAACAACAAAAACCCTAACTTTCACTGAATCAAGGTGGGGTAAAAAAATAATACAGAGGGAAAACAAAGAGTTTGAAGAGATAAACGCAGGTGTTAGCGAGAATCAACAGTGTTCACCTAAGCTTGTTCTCTTAGTGTGCAAAAAGTCTGAGTTTTTTTTTTTGTTCTGCAGTGAGAGTAAGAGGGACGAAGAAGATGACGACAGATAAATGGAGGGAGATTGAGTAAAGAAAGAAAGAGCAAAAAAAAAAAATTAATGATCGTTAGATTAAATGAACAACAGCCGTTGGATTATGCTGACGTTGCTGTTTTAGCCGTTGCGATTATTACAGAGAGCATGGGCAAGAGACGGACGACTAGATGCGCTGCTGCTTCAAGCTCTTTTTTCCAACACTTCTTTTATGTATTTACTTCTCTTACTCACAATTCTTTTTTATAAATAAATAAGAATAAGCAAAATTTTCGTTTTTTAAAATGCCAAACATTGAAATATTAATAAAAAAGGAATTAAAAAACCTTTAACTAAATTTATCTATAAAATATATAAGTTTTTATTAAAACAAAATGTTATTGCAAAAAGTCGAAGTTGTAACAAATCTATGAGAAACATCACAAGGTCTCCTCCTCCAATGTTGTCGTTTAGTCGGTTCCTACTAGCCTTTAATAAGATGTAGGAGTCTAAAGACCCATGAATTTGACAAGAAGGTCTCCTGGAATATCGACTTCGAGCTTATACTCTGCCATAAGTTCAAGTGTCTGTCTCAGTCTCCAACCATCTTTGACTTCAGCCTAAAGAAATATAATCAACAGAGAGATGATATTTCCTCAATTAGTACACATGACAATAACCAAGAGTGACATAATTATATATCAGATAACTAATTTAACAAGCCAAGTGTGTGTGTTGTTATATATTAACCTTGGATTGGCTTCTTAAATTGGTGATCTCTTTCCCCAAGAGATGTAAAGGAGAGAAGCCTTTGAGCTTAAAGAAACATATAAGCCGGACTGCGGCAATATAAATGCGTATACTGATCAGCTTCTCAACATACTCTGCATATAATAAGATATATATAAAAAAAACATATATATAAAGCCCTGCATGCATAGCCTTTTCAATTATATGATGTGAGATTGTGATGGATATACAAAAGAAGTAGTGATCAATCAATCACCTGGGACAAAATGGTTGAGACCAAGCGATTGAATTATTGTTGGAGCATGTTTGAAATGAGCAATATAGGAGGCAAGCCGAGCAGTCTCTTCTTGACTGATGATTGATGAACTGATCTGCAACCTATACGCACCAATGAAATGCAGAAAGTCCATCACCTCGCTAGATATCGTCATGAGACTTGTACTTCTTATCTTCTCTATCCATACAACTGCCAACTCTTGGACCTTCATGATGTCACTGGACTCAGGCTTAACCACATGCGTTGGGTTCTCCATTTCCTTTTTAATATCATGCATAATGCATCCCTCGTGTTGCTTAAGCGTGTACACATCTATACGCTCCTTTTCCAATTCATCCATCCGTTTATGGAGCTGAGTGTAATGATCCTCTGCCTTGTGCTTTACCGGCCTCTTGTCTCTTTTGGTCCCAGCAGCATCAAAGCCATCAACCTCAGAAACAACATTTTTGAATTCCTCAACACTTCTTCCCCTCTTTTTTGTTGAGCTACTAGTTTCATCCCCTATGTTGCACGCAACGTAAGACTTCTGGCAAACGGAACAGCGCATGACTCTGTTCATACATTCTCTGGAGTATTTATGCCCATGGCCACAGTTCACGCAACGCGTCCAAAACATGTATTGAGTCTCAACAATATTCTGACGACCCCAGTTTGCATTCGAATCCATTGTAGTGAATCTACTTTAAGTCAAAACCTTCCCAGTGAGCTTAAAGTCTCGGAAAGACAGATCAGTAGAGGGACCAATTACTCATAGTGCCTGCAATGATATTATGCAATATTGACCTAGCTAAAGGATCCTAAGACTCAGAGTAAGCAGAACTATACTTAGCGCTAAACGTTTCTTCAGAGACAAGGAACTGAAACTAAAGCAGAGAGCAATTAATATAAAACCCCCCAACAGATTTAAACAAGACTCTCTCAACACTTATTCTAGTCGTAACTAATTTCACACCAATCGATAATTAGAGTATGAACGACGTCTCCAAATTAAAGACACATACCAGAACTCAACAAATGAAGAATGAATTATATAACAAAAAATAATGGTGAGGAATTGAAACCCTAGAGTAAGAACTTACAGAGGAGACATTCATAAGAATATAAAAAACATAAATTTAGCGAAACAAAGAGGAGAGTAAACATACCACAGTCCGTCCTCTAGCTACCACCTTAACAGAGTATCTGTGACCTTGTAGAGGCGAAAGATTCTAAACCTAATTAAGTCCCAAATCTTTCGGAGTTTGAAAGGCCATAAGAAGGAAGCCCGGTCTAGTCGCCTGTGTCTTATGGACTGGTTTTCCTGTAGTGTACCGAACATGGATATCAAAATTTAAACAAAACCTCCCAAAGCTTTGTTGACAGTGCTTTAAATTGTTTTTAGGGTGTGTTGGCAAACTAGTTAATTATATGTAACTAATATTTTAGTTATTAGATTTAAGGGATTTATGAATAATGTCCAAATAGTAAAAGTGTTGTGTTGACATTACAATTTTGCAGTATGTTGCGTCATTGGCAAGAGCACTCATCTTTTGCCATGGAAAGCACCTAATACACAGAGATATAAAGCCAGAGAATCTATTGATTGCTGCTAAGGTAACAAATCGTAGCTGCTTCTTGTTTTAAATGAATGCCAAGTGATTGAAGTTAGCTTAAATATTTATGTATTTGAAGAGTGAATCTCTGATTCACACAGATGTTGGTTAAAGTGTCTAGTCAGAGTTTGGCCTTGCACAAGCTTCTTGAGCACACCCATGTATTGTGCAAAACGCAGCGTAACGGATCTAGGGTACTGAACAGTTTTTTCTGTTGCACAAAAGAATTTAAAACAGCTAGGGTTATCGAGGATAAAATGTGTAGCTCAAGTAATGTAAAGCAGAGCAAAAACGAAATAATAATAAAAATGCAACAGAAATATGAAATCATAATTCTTTAATCAGAATCTTGTAGAAGCAGAGGCGATTGACTTGCTGGCTTCGCGGAGCTCGATGATGTTGGCGTTCATATCTAACTGTATTTGTGTTAATTCCTGCTTCTTGTAATACAGATCCCTCTTTATCTGGGCGAGGTAGAGTTGACTTTTTGCATAGGTTTCATCAACCTCCCTTTGCGTGGCCTCTTTGTCGACGATTTTATCATCTATCCATCTGAAATTGTTGGTAAGGGAGTCGATTCTATTTTGTTTCCTGTCCACTTTTCGCTTAGTAGATGCTAACAGTTCCAACATCGATTCCAACTCAATCGCTTGTTCCTCAACTTGCTTCTTTATCTCTATGAGTTCAAGTTTATCTATCTGGTACTGCTCCTGAGAGGTTTTTGATAGCTGCTCAGCATCCTCCAGTTCTTTAGTCAAAGTTGTCTTGCGTTGCTGACTTTTTGCAATCTCTGTCACCATGTTTTCAGTTTCATGTATGGTTAGAACCTTCTTTTCCAGCTCTTTCCTTCTCTGTCTCCGTAGCCATTCCTTCGTCTCTAAAGTCGTACCTCGCACATATAAGGCTTCTTGAACGGTCTTAAACTCCTCCGGAAGATTGTTCTGTATTTGAGCGGCTTGCCTTGCAGCCTCAAGAGATTGATGGATCGTCTGGTTTCTCAAAACGGTGAGAATTTCGTTATCTGCCATGGCAACGAACTATTGCAAAGTTGGAAATTTTTTTTTGCTATTGGGATTCTAACATGAAAACATAGATTCGGAATTATATACCATACCGGTTTCAAGGTGATCGGCAGTTGATTGTGAAACTGATACATACTGGTTAGCCTCCATACCGGTTTGGAAGTCAGCTTGAGCAGTTTTGACAGCTTCTTTCTTCAACTCCAAGTCAGCGATTTGGTTCTTCAAAGTGGCGATTTCAGCTAGACATTCATCCTTCGACGGTAGCTGTTGAAGCTTGGCTAAACAATGCATCCTTGGACGGTAGCTGTCTAATTCACGATCGCTCCAATTCGAGGCCTCTTCAATCGAATTCAAAGCGTCTTCCAGTTTCTTCAATTGACGTTGAGCAACGGCTATTGTTTGATTGGCTTGCTGTGTTGCCCTCTCTACCGTTTCACGAATGCTTGCCATAGTGTCTTTCCAAACAGCAAATTAAGATTGTGGATCAAAGCAAACTCAGGAAAAAGAAAAAAGAAACAAAGTAGAGAAAAGAATTGTGTGTGTTCGTTGCTGATGGAACTCGTCTTATTTATAGGGATCAGTCTCATACTCATAGAAGGGAAAAAAAGGGGATTCCTTTTTTGGTTTTGGTAAATCTCAGCCAGAGCTCTTTTGTTTTTCCTTTTCGATAGAGAGTTTTTTACTTTATCTATTCACCGTCGGATCGTATGAAATCAGTAGCCGTCGGATTAAGCTGACGTATCTGATGTTAATAATTGATGCCCTAGATGGGCTTATTAACATGACATATGTTTGTTGGGCTTTCATTCAATCTTCCTTTTTTCCTTATAATCTTCTTATCTATTATTATCCTTTTTCTTTTTGGGATCTCAATAAAAATTTACATTAAACAGGCCAATAAAAAAAACAAAACAAAAGTGATTTCCAACATGAAACCAAAGCCTTGCACTGTTTCTTTACCAAAAGGCTAACGTGTATCATCAACTAAAACAGCAACGGGTTTTTAGTTACATCACAGGTCCGAAGAATCTATCTTCCATGAAAGTATAAAGCCGAGCTGGAATCTAAAGCCGGACGAATTCCTGCTAAATGCAGAATCAAGCCTTGACCCGAATCACGAAAGAGCCTGTGGAAAGCACACGAGAGAAGCTTATTCACCAACCCGTAGCAACTTATACTGACAGGTAATACAGGTTTTTGAAAGATGACTCGAGCTATACAGCAAATGTCTACTTACAAATATTATGGGTACTAATGAATGGTATCCTTGCAGCCAACAAAAATATACCAAATTAAGTAAATATTTTAACAACTTTTCTATCTTTCTTCTCTCTGATGTGTGATTTTGAGAATATAGAGTGAAAGTGTAAGATTATTGGAAAAGCAATAAGAGCAAGCTGTATATGGAAAAGCGATAAGAACAAGCTGTATATTACTTACATGTGGGAAGGCTTGATATGTCTGCGGAGACAGCACAAGGTATCCCCAAGTTGGAGAGGACACCTCTTATGATCCCGCATGGGAAATACAGGTACATGCTCACCGCTTGTGCTGCTTTGCTTTCCCCTGGAGTAGACGGATCTTCAGTTTCTTTCTCTGATGAAGGGTCAATTGAGACACGAGACAACCACCGGAACTTGTTGTCTTGCAATACAAAAGTACCCTGAAGAGACATTGGTGAGAAACACACACAAGAAAAATTGGTGAGAAATTTCATTATTTCAAGAAAATATTTTACCCGGTGGTTTGTCTTTAAATTATCAATCTGCTTCTTGAAGACCTCAGACCAGAAGTCTTTGCAGATAAACTTGATTGCCTCTAAATGGTCACTGAACCGTGGTCTTTCCATAGTGTACCTAATGACAATAAGAAGCTGGAGTTATGCACAATAAAGTAATATGCAATATCTTTCACCATACAACATTGCAAAACAGACTTAAGTAGCAAAAGCTGATTCCGCAAACTAAAATCATTCTTTTGATACATGTCAACGGAAAGTTTTTGACAAAAAGAAAAAACTTAGGTAACAAAAAAATCTCCTCACCAAAACATCGCACAAGTAAATGGGAAGTTAAGCCACTAGAGAAATGGGAAACTAAACTGAGACCACAATTTCAATTATGTAATTTAGTAAAACCTGCATTTCGAACTCATGACAGTTGATCTCAGATTCAAATTCTTGAGCAATGGCAATACTCAGAGCCAGCCATTGATTGATAAAAGACCTAGAATTCAAGACACAAGAACCAATTGAAGTTCCAATTTTTCTTGGTTTTTAATTATCCCTAAGGTCACAGGATAACATAAACCGCAATATCTTCCTGTCAGTAGCACCAAATTCATCTCAAATTCCCCAAAACTTCAAAGTTGCTCAACACTAAAACCCCAAATGAAACGTAAAACTCAAATCAGCACGATTTTTATCATCCCATCTATCACATTCTTGGCTAATCACACTCGAGATATAACAAAATCCAAAATCAGAGAATCAACGCTAATAGTACAAACGATCCTCAGATCTACAGCTAATACTAACGTTCCATACACCTCCTGAGAAAAATCTGATCAGATCGAACGAAAGAAGACGATGGATGTATAAATTTAGCACAACAGACCTCTCGGAGAGCTGGTGGCCGACCTGATAACCAATGGCCTCGATCCTCCTCGCGGCGAGTTCAGGTTTGTTAGCGTAGAATCGAGCACTGTACATAGCCACCATCTCCATCAACATAGTGTCTACACAGCTCTCCGCTACTTCTCTTCCCATATTCTCTCTCTGACTCTTTCCGTCTCTCTCGACCAAAAGCTCCCCGGGATCTATTGACTCCTAGAAGAATATCACATGTAACTCCTTACGAGTTTCTCTTGTTTCCGATCTTGTGACTTAAGTTTTCAATGTGTCATAAATAACCCTGAATCTCTCATTTTTTAAACCGAGATCATCTTCCTTCATATTTTTTTTCCCATTCTCATACCCGCTTTAATTATTTTACACAATTACTTGTGCGATGTTTTGGTTTCCCATTGAGAAATATATCAACATGCCATATATATTTTGTGCTAATGAATAACTGGTTTAAAACCCACTTTTTGTTTTGCCTGAAAAAAAAACCGGCTGGAAGCTTATATTATTGAAAAATATCTTTATCACTTAATTTTGAAAAAAAAAAAAGAAAAGAGAAATGTAAATCAATAAATAAAGATATTGACGAGAGAAACCGGCTGGCCATCACGAAAGTTAGAAATGCTGATCTGATCTCTTGATTATTACTTTCGTCTCCTTTCATTTTTTATCAGAAAGATGAAGAGAAATTAATATTTGCTTTTGGCTTTGAAGAAATAGCAAGTTTTTTTGTTGTTGATGTTATGTTACGAGCTAATCTAGCTCATGGTATATAACAGCAGGGAGTTCTTCCAAAAACCCCTTTTACCATAATGGTTAAAAAGGATAACTCACGTTATATAATATCAAAGACGAAAATGTTAAAAATGGCAGAACTTAGTTGAGAGTTAAGGAATACGTGAGAGGTTGGAAGTTTAGTAAAGTAAATGACACGGTTTAAGGTGTACATTGTGTAATCTATCCACTATAATGGCAAATTCTAAAAAAAGCCCTTTAATAAAATATTTACTGTCGGTTGTAGCGATAGGAGGAGCTTTTTATTGGAAGGGCTCTGAGTCCTTTTCAGTATTGTAATCTATACACGAGAATGACGAGGCATCCATTTAGCTCATACGTATACATTAGTACATATACGATATTTATATGGATTAATTGAAGATATAATACGTTTTTAAAATATAATAGGAAAACTCATACGTTTCTTATTCATAATTAGACCCTACATATGGGAGATAGAAATCATCTGAGATAGCAAAAGAAAAGAAAAAAATGACACAAGAGTATTTTGTTTGTTTTTTTTCCGATTTTTCTTTTTCTTTCTTTTTTTTTTCCTTTTTTTTTTCTTTTTTTTTTTTCCTTTTTTTTTTCTTTTTTTCTTCTTTTATTATTCTTACTCCAAGATTCTAATAACTAAACTAATATGTTTTGTAATTCTTCTTTTGTAATTTTTTTCTCTATAATTTGCATTTTGCTTAATAAATTTCAAATACATTATATATATATGTATTTATTTGTACAGTTTAGTATGTGTACAAACGTATTTGACATATCTGTACAACTGATCAGATGTACAGAGGTTATGTATATGACCTCTCTTCTAGAAACTACACTCCTCAATGACATATGATTCCATCCATGTTGATATATTTCTCACTTGGAAAAGTTATATAATTTTTGCTAAGTAGTGATAACCTGTATCTGCAATGCAACCTGGCCACTTAATTTTGTTGAGGCTTAGCAATTCGAAAGCTCCCAAGTCCCAGTTCAATGGGTTTCCTACTATTTAACGCTTATGTGGCTTACTGCTCAACATACTTCTAAAGGACGCAAGACATTTTGCGCAAAACCCACACAGCCATTTTTAATAATGTTACTGCTGCTTGATACTTTTTGCATTCTTTATAGCTTTGCCCATATTCAATTCCTATTTCCCGCTGCAGAGCATTGCGTTGCTTCGTCTTCCTTTAAGTAGGAATGTCAATGACTCAAGAAAAGAGCTTCCTCCATTTCACAGGAACATTTTGATTCTCTGAGCACATTACGCCTCACATTGTTTATTATACCAGCTTGTAACAGAATTTCAAGATGCACAACTGAAAAGAATAATACGGTTCTTATTATTATTCTAAATCACAGTTCCTATAATTTAACTCCCCTACAAAATCAGATGAAACATAAAAAGATGAGAAGAGTATTTTTTTTTTCTTTTTGTTTGGTACTGTTGTGTGTAAAGAGTGGAAATGGGGAAACGATAGGATCGGAATAACGAGAGCACTCATCAGAAGGAAAGCTCAAGATGAGATGGGTTGGATTCATGGTCAAGCCCTTTCCTTGATTTTTGCCAGAGCTGTGACTCTATGTTCAGCTTCCTCAGCTCCACTAGCCCTCTTTCAACTGCACCCGTTAAATTACCCACATTCATATTTCTGTTTGCTTTATTTGCGTACATCTCGTTGTCAGTGAGAATGAGTAAGAAGACTGTACCATCAACAGCATCTTGTGACGTGGCAGATCGAGTCCCTTGGTTTATCCAACACTGGAGACGCTCATCCGCTATATCTGATTCAATATCATGGTTCTTAGCTCTTCTCCAGAAATATGAAAGCCAAGCCTGTATGAGATGTTCACACTACAACAGTTAACGTTACCTGATAGGACATAGGCAACTGATAATTCTGATGTGTTTTTCTTTACCTGTTTAAAGCTTACATCTTCAACTTCTTCGTCGCTTAACTCTGATTGGGAAAACCAAAATGCATAAAGAACGTTCAAGGGAAAAAAATTCAGGGTTTATCATATAATGAAATGACCTTGCTTAGGGTCTGATCACATTAGGTGCTTTCACGTGATAATGATCGTTAACAAAAACATATCATGTTGCAGAAATTATTGACTTACCAAAGGCTTCAAATTGTCCATCCATTGGGAGTTTCACTTCGTCTATAAAATATTGGAAAATAAAGTATGGGTTAGGAGAAGGTAACATAATATTCGTTCAAGGAAACATCAAGCAGATAGCATATTCAAGTTAAGTATCGTTTCAAGGTAGATCTTTGGTCATCACCTGAAACAAAAAACTTTGACGATGAGCTCCGTCTATTTTGAGCCATGACAAACGCAACTGCTTCCTGAACCTTAAGACAGAGCAAAAGATGATATTTAAAACTTTCTTTAAAAACCATCTAATTGCAGACCTTTGCTTCTAAAAAAAGATAGAGCCATAGAGGCGACAAGAAAAGTTCTCATGTTATGTTAAGTTCTTTCACCTTAAGTGAAGCCAGCTCCCGCAAACCTTTTTCGACCCATATCATGCTTTCCACATTTCCTTCCCCAGAAGTTTCTTGCAGACTTTCCAATGATTTCTCTCTTTCGCCTTTAGTGGTATTAGCTGCTTGGTGGGGAAATCAGAGGGTAAGAACAAGCGAGGTCAGAATAATACTAAACATCTACCGTTAAATTTCTGCACCAAGATGAAAACAGTACATTGTGAAACTCCATCCCTTGCTCTTTGTCCTGCCGACAGAACAATCTCTAAAGGAAGAGGTGCAAATGATGACCAGTATTCATGCTTTGCTCCTGCAATATCCGCTTGAATGCCTGCCACAACATTTCGCCCAAATTTAGCCCATTATGTACAATATTTAGAGAAACTTTAACAATAAAATCAGTGTAAATACTGTTTTCATTTATAGATTATAATATGTGTAAGAAACCAAGGTACTACCATGTCTAACGCATAAGCCCCAATAACGTGAAAGCCAACACCTCTTCAGAACAACCTCTTCCTAATATAAAGATCTATAGATGAGAAGATATCGACTTAAAAAAAAAAAACACTAGATGGAAACAAAATGTATAAACCTTTAACAGTAGCATACCATCTCCTCCTGGGTCAATATCAATCTCTTGGTCACGGTCTTAAGAGAATTAAGCTCTAATTCAACTTCATGAAGCTGCTCTAAAGAAGATGCTGCCTCCTCCCTAGCAATCTAAATCCAATCCAAGATCTAAAAACGTTAGTACAGATGCCAGTAAGAACAACAAAATACCTAAACTTGAAGTACCTCAGCTTCTGTGTGAAGAGCCGAAACATCTTCCCTCCTTCCTCCATGATTTTGTGATGCCACTCTCAAAGCAGCCTGAAAAGAAATCGTTTTGTGGATTATGCTACTTTTACATTGTCAAGATCTAAACCAAAATCACAAAGCCTAATGAGTCTGCTGTCTAAACCATCTACACCGAAATTGCATATTAAAAATGGAGAATAAGCTTTATTAAGAAATGCAGAAGCAAGTTACTGAATCCACGTTTGGACACTTCATTAGCTGATAGTGAAACGTATGATGGTTGGTAGACATAATTATTAGAACTTTATAATCCAAAAATAATGTATGAGATCATGTAGAAACTTGATCGGACACTGACCTCTCTCTGTTGTAGAGCTGCTTCCTTTCTGAAGTAAGAAACACATTCACAAAATTAGAAAATTTTCATAAGTCAACTAAAAGTTTCACAGAAACTGAAGCTTGCCTGCTTAAAAGACGTGCGTCCATAGTAACACCTTCTCCAAGGATTTCAACCTAATAAAAAGCAGCTATGAGTTTACAGATGTATTTAAGCTTCCAGAAAAGAAACACAGACTAATGAAACAACAATATAAACAGTACGTAAGAGGGGACTTCTATGCTATTCTGAGGCATGAACCATCTGCTTACCTGTTTCTCAAGTTGCTTGGCTCTTGCATCTGCTTCGTCACACTTATCTTCTGCAAGTCGAAGCTGGGGATGCATAAATTAGGATGGGATGCAAACTAGTAAAATGTACAGGTATTATCTAACTTCACAAAGAATCTGCTAGATTGATACACATAAGATATGGTTATCCCCTGAGATTAGCAACATCCACGACAAAATTAAGATAGAGACTCTCTCAAATTCAACACTGTAATTCATGCTTTGCTTAAATGTAACAATCAAGAGAATGTCTTTCAGGAGAGAGGTCATAAAACGAAGTAACTAATGCCTACTGATACAAAACTGTGATAATTTACTGCCATCACCTTTTCTAACAAACTTTCATTTTCTTCTTGTAGCATATCAACCTGAAATGAAAACGAAATTTTTTGAAATCAAAATGCTTGAAGTGTTAGGAAAGCTCTAACCAAGGAAATCTAAAAAAGGAAAGGGCATGAGCTAGAGAAAAAATAACCAGGAATTCAGAAACCACTGGAATAAAATATAGACTGAATTTGTTAATACATTTCATGAAATATATATTATCAGCTCCTGAAGAAAGCAAACCTCATCTTGCAAAGCTGAAGTAGAACGTTGGCTGC